ATAATTACCCTCTTCCTTCTAAAATTTCTTTAGTCATAGCTCTAGAAACAACATCTCTACTAGCTAAATCTTTAGCAGTAGGAGCATATCTTTCCATAAATCTTTCACCCAATGAATTTCTCAGAATACCTCCTTCACCTCTACATCCTTCAGTCATAAGACATCCAGATCCATAAATACCAGTAGGATGGAATTATACAAATTCTAAGTCTTCCATAGGTAAACCAGCTCTAATTGTCATACCACCACCATCACCAGTGCATGTATGTGCTGATGTGCATGATTAAAATGCTCTTCCATATCCTCCTGTTGCAATAACAGTATATCCAGCTCTAATTCTATGGATTGATCCATCTGCCATCGACATACATACAACTCCTCTACAAGCTCTATAAATTTATAATAAATATAAAATTACCCTTATTCATCCATCATTAAATCAAGTGCAAAATATTCAACAAAGAAAATGCAATCATAACCTAAAGCTCTGCCAAAAAGTGTATGTAACATAGCATGTCCAGTACGATCAGCCACTGCACAACATCTATATGCTTATCCACCTGTTCCAAACTTCAAACTTTAACCTCCAAATGCTCTTTAATAAATTTTGCCTTCAGGAGTACGAGAAAATGGTAAACCATAACTTTCCAATTCATAAACAGCCTTGGGTGCTTCTTTGCACATATATGTAATAGCATCTTAATCACCTAACCAATCTGATCCTTTAATAGTATCATATGCATGCCTATGTAAATTTTGATCATTAATACCATCTCCAATCATCCTCTGTCATGTTACCTAAGGCTGCATTAATACCTCCTTATGCTGCAACAGTATGTGATCTAGTTGGAAATAGCTTAGATATGCATGCAGTCTTAAAACCTAATTCAACTAAACCAAAAGCTGCTCTTAATCCAGCTCCACCAGCTCCTACAACAACTGCATCATAAGTATGATCTATGACTGTGTATTTGTCTGTTAAATGACCCTTGATCTTTAATATTTAATATTACTTGTGATGGTCCTTTTTCTGGTTTATTGTTGGCAACTACAGCAAATCGATTCATGAGTTTCATTGCTTATTGCCTAAACAATGCCTACTTCGTGATAGCAAACATAAAATTAAAAAGATATTTTAATTATTTTATGCTTTAAAAATAGTATTCTTAAAGGAGTTGGTGAATGTTAGTCACTGAAATAGAATAAAAGATTTTGATTAGTAAAAACTCAAGTTGATAATCTCTTTATTAAATGAATAACATAACTACAAGCTTAAAGTTAATGCAACAAATAATCAAATATTCTATAGATGGCAAATCTAATATTATGGCAGCTTGATAAATGCATTTTTAACTAATAAAATGATTATGTATCAAAGAGTGCATTGTTAAGTTCACAAATTATATTAAAGACTTAAGAATTCTTAATCATTGCGTAAAATAAAATCATCTTATAATATTAAAATAAGCCTGAAGACTACTCAATATTACTCCTTCAAACATATAATATATAAAAAATAAGTTGTGTGAAAGAATTATAAATTAGTTCCAAAATTCTATTTCATGACTTAAGCCATCAACTTTAAATTATATTAATGAAAGTTATTGCTAATTAGGATAATATTTAATTAATTATGGAAGAGTAAAATAAAGAATCAAGAGAATTATTTGAATGAGATAACATTTTGAAAAGTGATGATTCAAATTAATTATGAAATATATATTGTTTTAATGTCAACTCATAATATTTTCATATGCTCCTTATAATTATGTTGATGAAAATGGATAAGTGGAATTCTTCCAACGATCAAAATTGAATAAAGATTAGATTATATTCAAATTTGTTTTCATAAATTTAGGACATGCTTAAGCAACTAAATATATAAAAATTGGCAGTGTTCCATCTTAGCCTGGATTATCATCAATTCCAGATATTTTCAATAATTAGGATGTGTTACTCAAGCAATCAGAAATCATTTATAATTTCTCAATAGGAGTCATTACTTAATCAATCTATCTGAAAGCTAATTTTATTAATATCACTAAATACATTCACTCATTTTCTATAACATAGGTAATTCTGATAAACAAATTTTAACTTCTTATTATTCTTCTAAATGTTTCAATTTCTATTGACATTATTCAATAAATTTTTTATCTTCTTTTATTTCGTTTATGGTACAATATTTCATCATGATTCTTCGTACAATAGACTTTTCTGCTGTTTCATAGCATAAATCAACGTATTAATTATTTTTTTTTTAATTCTAATTTTATGGGAAAAATGATTATTATTATAACTTTTCTTCCACTAATTTCATATAATTTTAAAATAGTTTTGAGACTCTAGAATAATAGAATTATTTATTACATCTCTATAAAAACTTCATCTCCTTCTAAGGCAAGTTGCAAATGCTTGAGTCCACTCAATATATCTATAAAGTCTCTTATACTTTAAAAGGGTAATTCTAATTATAGAGAGTTTAAATCTGCTCCATTCACAATTTATAAGAATTATTATTTTTCATTATCTTTTGGATCTAATGATTTAGTTTTAGATGAGTCTTAAATTGAATTTAAATTAATTTATCCATATCTAAAACTCAATAAACATGGAATCTTGATATTTTTTAAGAAATAATTCAACTTTTTTTTTAACTCAATAGTTTTTAACATTTTGTTCAAAGCTTTGATTTCATTTCTCTCAGTTTTAAGTTGTGTAATAATTTTCAAAAATACTTCTAACATTGCCTTTTGTTCTATATAAGAAACAAAGAGTACTTACGATTTTTTGCATAAGTAACTTTCTATTCAAATTCTTAGATCATTTCTTGACATAAAAGTGAAAGATTATTGCTAGTATATTAATTTGGTATCATTTTATATATAGAAAGCAAATAATTAGCATATAATTATGGTGAAATATTTTCATATTATTTAATTATTTAACCCTTATTTTCATATGACTAAATTAAATAATATAAATTACATCTTTATACATATATATTAAGTTGTCAAAACTTAGAATTATATTGTTCCTCAATTTAGACAAAAGGGATATTCGTTCAATTGAAATTAAAAACTATGCAACAACTTATTTGGCTTTAGAAATAAATAATAATTCTTCTTTATCTTATGCACTAAACTTCTCTGTAAATTTAAAAGCAATATCTATATAATTGACATTATAAAGATCAGATAGTCTATGTACTGCAAAATGCATATTACTTGCAAGTATTTTCTATCCTTTCCATGATACATGATTACTCATATAATCACCTCCCATTTTCAAATTATATCTCATTATACTATCTGCTAATTCCTTTAAATCTGTGTATCTAGTTAATTGTTTACCTCCTAATGAACCTTCAATTCTTGATTTTGATATTGTATTTAATAAAATTTGTAAATCTGAAATAGAGAGTAAATAGGAAATAAAATGTTTTTCAGATTTATCTTTGATATAAAAATTCAATTGGGTTTGAGGTAATTCAATTGATTCTTTGAAATAATTAAAAACATTAACACTAGTTAATGAAATTTTAAGACCTTCTATAATCTCTCCTTTCCAAGCACACAATAATATTTTACTTATTACTGTAATATTATTAGTTTAATAATAAGATGATTCTAATTATTATTAATTAAGAAACATAGCAGTAAATTCAGGTATTACCCATTTATTAATAAGGAATTAAATAAGCAAATTAAATATTTCCTCTTATTTATAAGTTTAATAAAGGGCTTTAAAGATTTAGTATTGCAATCTACATAAAGCTCTTATTATAAAAGGTAGATTATGTAAGCTATTTATGATATTATCACAAATAGAATTAATGATCATCTCAGTTACTTTACGTCGATCATATAATATTTTAGCTGTTTCCTCTACTAATTAAGGGTCTATTATTCTCTATAATGGTGTTTAACAATACGATTAAATTGATGGTGTAATTTATTCAATTATTGTATTGAGTAGAGAATCAGAAATTTTAGTTCTTCTTACATTCTCATATACATTAATATCTTTATTTTCTTCTGTTCCTTGCATTAAAATTGGTATTCTATTAAGCATTAATTTCCTTGCTTTACTCTCCTATTTTTATTTAAGATGTTTTGCAGATTCTTTACTTTCTTTTAATTTTAATTATGATTCATAAATTCTATAATATTTATATAATTAATACATCTTAGGATTTAATTCTAATTCTTCTTTAACATTCATGAGTAAATTTAATGCTTATCCACATATTTATTATATATATGATTAACATAAAGGACCTTTACTGAATCCAAGAAGAAATTTACAAACTAAATTAGTTTTATCCTAAAATAATTCTAATGGATTCTTAAGGTTAATTAATTCTAATTTTAAGAGTTCACTTAATAATTTAAAAACTCCTTCTTATAAACCAGCACCTACTATTGGATCATAAAGGAATGTTAGAATATCAAATATAAATTCATCTAAATTATGAGCACCAACATCTAAAGATGAATGTATCAATTATGCAAAAAGTTCTTAATTTTCCATCAACAAAAATAAAAACTTTTATATATCAGAATGAACATTTTCAAATTTGTACCCCAATGAACATTATTTTTAATTATAATTAGTTGTTTATTATTGATTGTACAATCTACGTAAGTCTTTATATCGAAGCTATGTCTTGTAATACTTCTCCACAGTATTCAGAAGGATCTAAATGCGCTCATTCTTAGTTTCATTTTCTAATTTGCAATTGTCACAAAGTACCCTTATTAAGCAAATTATATTGCAATTAAAGATTCTCTTATAAGGAATTCCATTATAGAATTGTATCTGAATTAAAAGATTGTCTTTTTGATAGCTTAAGAAGATTCGAATCTTGGATTTGTGCAATACTCACATCATTTTGGTCTTCTTGCATTTCGAACATTTCTATATAATCTGATTTAATTTTAATTTATTAAAGCATAACTAATATTATTCTACAAATATTCACTTTCTTTCTATTTAAAATTATAAATAATCTTACTATTCATTTCTATTTTAAGATGTCACTTATATATTATAAAACCCATATATTTCTGTACTACTTTGAACCAATAATATTTATATAAAAAATAATATTTATATATCATTCTACATAATGTCAAAGCTATTATAAAACTTAATATAAATAATTCAACAAAAAGAAATTTAGAATCTTAAATAGAGGATTTAATATTATTAAATTTACTAGTGTTTTTATTCAAAAATATTCTAAAAAATTAATTCAACTGTAGACAATTTAGATAATTTTGATTTTTTAATAATTATTTTTGAATATTTTAACATTATCTTCAAAATATGAATAAAATTAACATTAAATTAGATATGTTATTAAAGAGTTGATTTATTTAATTAGAATTTCAAAAAAGTAGAATTAGAAAAAATGAATTTAAAAGAATATTCTTTTTCTTTTTCTTTATTCAATTTAGAAATACTATTTAGAATGTATTCCTTAGTTCACTTGTAATAAAATAATTTATATTATTCATTAAAAAATAAATTGAATTAATTTATGTTATTGACAAGGGAAAATATTGAATTTTATACTCAAAGAAGAAAACAGTATTGCGAAGACTTCTTAAAGCTAACGAACCAATTCAAACCAAAGTTAGAGTTATTATAAAAAAAATTGATTGCTTCAAAGTAGGTAATAGATGGCCCTAGTAAATCAATTCCTCATTAACAAAAGATCAAAAAAGTCAATAAAGTTTTAGCATCTCTATCAAAATCGAAAGAAGTTTAATAAAAAATTGATAAAGAAATGATTAGATGTTCATGTCAATATAAATTAGATGAAGTTCCAAATTGCAAGTATTGAATAATGTTAATTTAGTTTCAATTACTCTTAAACTTGTAATAAGATACAATAGGCAATGATACCATTGATTCAAAATCTTTAAATATAGATTTAAGATAAACAAGAGGAGATTCTAAGTGATTTAGATTGTGCTGATTTGTATATAAAAGTAAGTTAAATAACTTTATTAAGAGAGATGAGTTCTAAAAAATGAAACATAAATCAAAGAGATTATAATAAATTATAGAGAAATTATAAGTTATGGAATTAAAACAAGAAGAAAAAGTGTATAGAGAAAGTATAAAAAAATTAGAGAAATTGGATTAAGCTGAAGATTATGATGAAACTCTACCATATTCTAAAAAGGCATTAATGTCAAAAAAGAAGATAGAAGTATAAGTTTTAATGGATGAAGAAAGAAAATAGAGAAAGTAATTTGAGAATGAAAGGATTAGAGAAGCTATTGAAGAATAGAAATAAAAATATCAATCATTAGATAATAAAATAAAAACTCATTATAGAAAAATGGGTTTATAAAAAAGAAAATTAGAAAGTATGAGTGATCTTAGAGAATATATAAATGATTGTAGAACAAATTCATAAATAAAATTAGATTCATAAAATAATTTAAAATAATAATAATAATTAAAAAGTATTTTAAATGCAGATAAAAGGTTTTCAATAACATTATTTTCAACTTAAATGAATTCCTAGAATATAACGTATTATTTTAATATATAATTAAGACCTATTGCTTGTGAAATTAATGGTTTAACAGCTCCTATTATAAGTAATGTTAATACATAAAGAACTATAATAAATAATTTTGGAAAGAAAACATCTCAAAACTTTAATAAAATAAAGAGAAGATATCATACCTTAGGATAAAGATTAGAAAATGGATCAAATTTTGATTTTTAAGATAATAAATTAATCTTATTATGATCAAGATTATTAAATCTAACACTTTAGACAATTGACTGATTGATTTGTTGGAAAAACTACTAAGTAGATTTCTAAGCAATTCATACAATATCTATAACTTGGTATTGAGATTCTAGGTGGATGAAATTGATAGCCATGACATTATGAACAAGGATAAGCTTTATTACAACAAGAGAAAATTGGAATAGTATTGCAAGGTAATCTGTGAGGACAATCTTAAGTATATAAAATATGAGGAAATGTTCTTAATTACTTTTCTCTTTCTTACTCTTTTTATTTTTTCTTTTATTCTTCTTTTTATTTAATTTATTCTAATTCTTTTTATTTTTATTCTTTTTTCATTTAAATAAATTATTATTTTTATATTTCTGTTTATTTTTTTACTTCCTCTTATTTTTGAATTTCAATCTTTCTTTCTTCCTCTTAAATTTCATTCATTATTATTTAAAATGGTCTAAATTATTCAAGATACTTTTCTTATTTTTATGCTAAAACTTAAAGCTTTTATTAAGCATATTCCTTTCTTTATTTTTAATCAATAATTTAAATTTTATTATTATCTCCTAAAGCTGTTTTTAATTCAAATTCTAATTATTCTCTGAAATCATTCCAAGATTATTAAACTTAATCAACTTTTGATGTAAGATACTTTTCAGTTTCATTAATAATATATTCAACTTCAGATAGATGTTTACCTTAAATAAAACTTAAACTTTCTGTAAGTTCTTCTTATGTCATGTCAAATATATTTTTGCTACTTAAATAATTAACTCTATTTTAAAGATCTCTTTCTAATGGTTACCATGATAATTCTTCATCAATTGATTTAATTACATTATCTTCTATCTATTATAATCTTTCTTAAACAGTTATTCTCAATTTTCCAAAAAATGTTTTTACTTAAGTTATTTTATCAGGAACTCGCATAATTTAATTACAGAGATTATCAAACTAAGTAATAATCATATATTTTATATACTTATTGTCTTCTATCATCAAATATTTTACAAAATGTTTATATTTCCATATTTTAAGATGCATGATTACCATGTTATTCAATTTAACAATAAGAACAACCTAATCTATTATCTGCTTCACAATTTGGATATTAACAAATGAAAACCATCTTATTCTTCTCATGAGAAGTTTTAGTACAAATTGCTTCCATTTTGAGTCCTAACATTTTAATGATTGAACGTTCATGCATTGATTGAAGTTATTACTTTGATATTATTTAAGATGGTCTTTTTTATAGAGTTCTAGTTGGTGAAGGTGGATATGGAAATGTTTTAGAGCTTAATATTAAAATATAACATACCTAACAGACTAACAATGTCCAACAGGACTATTAGAACTACGAAATGATTATTATGATTTTGACATTTCTAATTACATTTGACTACCAGTCATCTAGTCTTAAGTTTTATTTGCTATCTTTTTAGGGCTTGATGAATTTTATGAATTCAATGAGCTTCTTCTTAGATATTGCGGTGTTTTAGCATATTTAAGTTAGGATTTTTGCATATTAATTTAATTTGCGGTCGATTTGAGATGAAACAAACAAAAGAAGAAAGTGTTAAATTGTATTTAGACTTCTATGATAAATATACTTGGCCTCTAGAGATTGCTGAAACTTTACTAGAAGTCAGATAATATCTTACAGAATCCACAATATTGTCCCTCTTTCAAAATTTCTACTTTTCACATAAAGGTTAGCGAATCAATGAATACAGTGAATTCTCTATACCAGATGGAGGAAAGTTGCAAGTTTTATTAGGTATAGGAATCAATAATCATATAGATGAATTTAATGAAAGAACAGCTAGATTCCATTTAAGAAGAGTGTAAGAAATGATTACCAATCTATCACATTATCAATATCTTTGCAAAGGCAAAAATTAAAATGAAGATTCATTATCACTAAAAGAAATAGGTGATTTGTAATTAAATGATATCCTTTAACCAGCTATTAAATCAAATTTACTCTTAATTGATGAAAATAAGGCTATTAAATAGAACGTGTAGTAATTGGGATTGTCATCTTTCAATCCACCTCCTCTTTCAAGAAAATTAAAGGGTAATGGAGAAAACAATAATTAGGTGATCTCTTTTATATTGTCCTTAAAACCATTGAATCAGTTGAACTTATTATAACAGCCTCGAATTTAGGGTTTTATGTCAATAGTTCTTAAGGACGAACTTTTGAGCCAACCCAAAAAAGTGATTGCTATTACAATCTTATAGATTTGATTGTGGATCATAGTCCATCATTTAAGTAAAATGATGCATTTACATAAATTTAGAAAGGAATTAATTAATGCTATTCCAGAGTAATAATAACCTGCATTACCAGCTACAATTAAATATAATCATAAATGGTTATCAGTACCAGAAAATCCTTTGACTTTAGATCATTAAAGAAGTGAGAGTTGGGCTTTAGATTTACATGGATTTGATGTCTCAAGTTTAAGAGATTGGAATGAAGAATTATAAGTATTTAGATCATTGCCAAAAATTGATTTAATTTAAAAATTGAATAGAGATAAAGCATTATCAAAGGTTTATGGAGATTTTGTAGAGGCTGCAGTTAGAGGAGCATGTGCTGTTGTTGATAAAATTATTTAACCTTTGAATCCAATGGATATAGAATGTTAATAAGTTTACGTTTATAATCAGATATTCTTTAGTTTTGCAATGGAAACACCAGAAGATTTTAGAGTATTTAAATGTATTATAAATTAAAGTAAGAAAGTGGTCCTGATGCTACACCAACAGTTTCAACAACAAATTGTGATTTTAGAAATTTATAGATTTTACACAAATTAGATATTCCTGGATTAAGTGTTTTGAATACTTGTTTAGTTGATTATAAAGGAAGAAGAGTTATTGCATAATCTATTATACCAGGAATTCTAAATAGTGATCATAGTAATTGTACATAATATGGTTCAATTGATGATGGAAAGACTATTTAAAAATCTGAAGAATTTCATAAGGTAATGTCAAAAACATGTGAATTCTTTCATCTTGATACTGATATTGTATTTCTTGATAGCAATCAATAAAAGTATTCTATGGCTGGAAGCATAGAAGTAAAAGGTATTATGGGATCAGATAAAAGAATGTATTTGCTTGATCTTTTAAGATTATCTCCTAGAGATTATAATTATTAAGGAGAAAATAATTAATGTTGTGTTTTAAGATATGAATTACTTTAAAATTATTGGGTTGTTAACACTATTTAAAAAATAAAATAAAATAATAGTGATGATCCAAAAACATAATAAGAAGCATATTAAAACATATAAAATTTATTAATTGGAAATCCAAAGGAAGGATTAAAATTAAATCCAGCATTAGGCACTAAGACAATATTATAATAATCAGAAAAATTAACATAATAAGAAGAGGATTTAAAAAAGTTATCTTAATTCTTGTTAAATTAAGCTATTCCTTAATTAATTTAAGAATTATCTTAACCAGAAACAACAAGACATTCTGATCTTAGTATTTCAGATATTTTTCATTCTCATGGTGTAAATATGAGATATCTTGGAAAAGTAATTAGTTTTATTCGTTCAGAAGAATAACCATCATTAAGACTTACTTTGGAAAGAATAGTTTTTGCTAAGACATTGAAACACATCTTTAGAGAATCAATGAGAAAAGCACCACAAAATCAATTATCTTAAGTTTTGTGTCATCTTTTAAATATAATATTCTCTAATTAAAATACTTCATTTAATAATACTAAATAAGAAGAGAAAAAGAAAAAGAAGAAAAATAAAAATAAAAGTACTTAAAATGGTGATAAACCTCACTTTAAATGTTTAATTTAAGTTAATAATTATTAATATCCCTCATATTAAGAAGTTTGGGATTAAATCAATTAGATTGCATAAGCTAGATATTAACATAAAATAGATTCATCTATATTAAATAAGAAAGGATTCCATAAATTATCCTGTTTAAGAGAATTATGTTAATAAATTGGATTATAGTTAGTTGCTCGAGACTATCATGATTTCTAACCTTCAGATATAGTAGGAATCCAACCTATAATCAAATTTATTGAATAAGTTTCAGAAGATGCTAAAAATAATATAGAAATTGGTCAAAAATATATGCTTGAACATTAAAATCTTCATTAAGCTTTAGAATCTTATCTTACTGCATCTCAAATAATTCTAAATTTACATGGTTAGATGCATAAAGAATTAGCAAATTGTTATTCCAAGATTTCAGCTGTCTATTTGAGAAGATAAGAATATGATGCAGCCATACATTTTTAAAAGCAAGCTATTTAAATTTATACTACAATTTATGGTTATGATCATCCTTTAACAATCTAAGCCATTACAGCACTTTCTTTATATTATTTCTCCACTAAAAATTATAAAGAAGCATTCAATCATATGTTACATACCTTATATCTTGCAAATCTAATTGGAGGAGAAGGCTAAGAAGTATTTAATCAATATACAAATTTATCATTACTTTATTCAGAAAGTGGTTAACATTAGAGTGCATTAAATTGTTTATTTGAAGGATTAGAGAAGTGTGAATCTTTATTTAAATCCTTTTAAGGAACAGAAACATAATAATATAAATTAAGAGTATCTGGATACTATTCTGCAATTGCTTTGGAACATGGTGAAATTGGTGATTTCTAAAAAGCAGTAGAATTCTAAGAAAGAGCTTCTGAATTATTAAAAAGAGTAATAATTATTTATTATAACTAGACCCTTAAACCAGAAGATACAAGAGTAAAGGAAGCAGATGCTTTATTAACCAATTTAAAAAAGGCTTTAAATGATAAAAGAAAAGACACTCAATAATCAAATTTAGGTATTTAAATATTTAATTATTAATTAGATAGTAGAAGATAATTTGGTACTAATCGTAATTAATAATAAAAAACTGAATAGTAAGTATAATAAATACCAGATGAAACATATATAGAAAGTGATAAAGTAATTAATTATAATCTAAAATTTAATAGGAAAGAGAAGCTTTATTATAAAAATTAAGAGCAGCCAAATAAGGCATGAAATTCAAGAATAAGAATCAAATGGATATAAATAGATACATTCTTGCCTAATAACTTTATAGACAATAATAGTAATAATAAAAAGAATGAATGATAACTGTGATTATTATGTATTTGTTTAATATTATTTATTAATTATAATCACTCATGCTATTGGATTTTAATATAAATTAGTTGGTACTTTAGGACTCTTAAAATATATTTAATAAAAATTAATTTTTCTTAAGAATTACATCAATGGAATAATTAAATCAGAATGTAATTTATAACTAATATGATCCATATCTTCAGCCAAATGTAAAATACATATTTCAGCAGAACAATTTTCTATTTATTCTTTATTCTTTTTACCTTTTAATTTTTATGCTTATGAATGAGGTATCATATCATCTTTCTTTCCATGTAAAATAAAAGTTGGAGATGTTACATCATTTATATTTACTAAATTGTTAAATCTTTATCTAATTAAATGTTAAACCCATGTTCCCACAAATCTAACATAATCTCGAACAGCATCCTTCAAAGAAGTAAATGGAGACATTAAAACTAAACAACCAGGCTTATGTTTGCTTGCTAAATAGGTTGCAGGACCAGATCCTATTGATCTTCCAAAGATCATTATAGATTTTTCTTCATAGCCTATTTTTTTAGTCAAATAGTTATAAACGTAATCAGCATCATTTTATATAGCTTCAGCAGAAGTTTAAACTTGATTGTATTTTCCATACCCTGGATATTCTACTGCCAAAACTGAAATCTTTTCTTACTATGAGATAGTGATACTTACAAAACATTACGAAGATGTATCAAAAATGTATATGATTAACTGATATCTTCAGCATTCCCATGAAAATACACAACAATATTTGACGAATTTTCGTATTTGATAAGCAAACAAGGAATGTATCCAATAATGTTTCCATCTCTTTTGCTGGTTTTTTTCTATTATATGATTGTGTCCTATTTTTTATTGAATTAAAGAAAATGAGGAGAACTTCTACTTGTAGTTTCTCTTTTTTTAGCCCGTGTGAACTAATTTTATTAAATACTGCTAATTTTTGTCTTCCCAATGTTGTAAACAGATTCCTAATTTAATTTTGATAATTTGTCCTATAAATCCTCTTCATAATCAAATATATCAAATTCTGGTGATCCTATTTCTTTTTCTTCAAACTCAAAATTTTCAACTAAATTTTATTTATTAGAATGAACCCGATGTATATTTGGGAATTAAGGTATTGGTTGTTTTTGAAATTCTCTATCACTTTTATAAATTCTTACTATTGATCATCAATCAAAGATAATTATTCTTCTTCTACTTGTTGAGTTGACTATTTGACAAATATAACCATATTTTTCTTTGTTTTTCTTTTAACATAATTCTAAAAATTTGGATAAAGTGCTGAATGTTTTGGTATCCATAATATTCTACCTTCATCAAAATACCCAATATCTAAAGTCTCTTTAGGAGCAGGAAAAAAAATGAAATCTAGGTCCATTTAGTTATAAATATTTATTATTTATTTTACTTAATTCATTATAATTTTTATTTATTCTACTTTTATGAAATTTAATTCAAGAAAATAATATTGATTAAGTATTGTAAAATAAATTTACTAATTTAGATTAAGAGATTAAATAATATCTAAGATAAAAATTGACGAAATATTAATTCATTTAAATTTTAAGAATCCAAAAATATTATAAACTAAATGATTAATTTGATGATAGATCTATTAGTAATAAAAAGTAATATTTTTTAATTACTATTAAATGAGTAATTAATTAATGATATATTTTGCAATAACATTATAAAATACTATATTTATTATCAAATATTGATAATTTAATAATATTTAGGATTAAGGCCTAAGAATTCACACTACAAGAAAGCAGTCAACAGTGCTTTCATGCTAGCTCATCAAACAACAGCATGAGTATTAAAGCGAGCATATGCTCGCAAAATATAATATCAGAAACTCCAAATAATGAATTAATTATACTTTCGTGAAACATCTCTTCAATTAAAACAGAAACTCTTAATGAAGCTAAACTAATAGGAGCACATATATTATGTTTGCAGGAAACAAGAAAAAGAAGTTGCTAACTCTCCCTCATATACATATTATAACAAACTCAGAAATCACAATCCAAATAGAGGAGGAGGAATAACGGTTGGGATTCATAAGCAATTCTTTTCCAAGAATATATCTAATATACTGCCTAAGGTCCATGAGTTATTAGAATGCTTTTTAATTCAAATAACAGGTTAACGATTAGAATTATTTATACTAAATATTTACTCACCTTTAAAATAGTATTATTAAAAATCAAAAAAAGCTATAGAAAACTTTATTTTAAAGCTCATGCTAGCAAAGGGAAAAGCATTATTTATAATTTGTGGTGATATCAATTATCCAAAAAATTTAATGCCCTTCATGAAGGATGATGTTATTACAATCTAATAGTACACATTCAAAAGAATTATAGAATAAAAAGAAGTTAAAAGTAAAACAGACTGTATACTGGTAAACTAAAATTTGTAAGTCCATCATAATGTTTATTAGACAGACTAATCAGATCACCTTATTTTAGTAGCTAAAATCTAACTATAAAAATCACATCTATCAACTAAGCAATACTAGTTCTACCCAATCAAAACAATATTTATCTTTTGAACTCTATGATAAGTTAAGAAAAATCATTTAAATAGTTTTACTTAGAGATACAAAAGAAAATAAATTAAATTCAATGCTTTTAGAGAACAGCACAAACTTTAAAAAGAATCAGTCAAAGCTATACCAATCAATAAATATTACTTTACAAAATATTGAATAATAAATCAAAAGTAACAAATCGGAAAAAGCCTTTAAATCGATAAATAAAATCTTAATTATGAACCAGTCCAAGAGAGATGGTAGTATCATGAACTGTTTCATAGATGGTGAGTCGCTCATCAGCTGTAAAAAATAAATTCTTTAAAATTGTTTATAATAACTTGCCGTTTTTTAATAAATATAAATAAAACTCCCCATTATAACTACCCAAATTGAATCCAATATCTATTGAAGAATTTTAATTTTTGATCTAATATCCGATAAATGGCTTAAACAACATGGAACATACGAAATGCTCTCTAATTTATGGTCTTAAGAAACTGCAGATTTAGTATTAAACTTTGGTGAAAATCGCTTGATTCCAATAAATAAAGCATACCCAAGCATTACAGAAAAAGACTACTTTAGATCTATAATAGTGCAAAGTCCAATTATGAAATGGCAAGAGCTTAGATTCCTACATAAAATTCAAAAATTTTGTGAAAAGCACATCATTAAAGAATAGTTTGGTTTCATAAGAGGTGTTGGAACTCAACCATAAATACTTAAACTCATAACTGATTTGTAAAAGTTTTGTAAAAAAGATCAAAGAGTAGTTATATTTATTGATTTTCGATCGGCTTACAACTGTGCAGATATGACAATATTATTCAACTTTTTTAATATAATGCATGTATTGAATAAAGAAGAAACAATTTTTCTTAGAAACTTAATGAGTTGGTAATATGTATAATATGATAAACAGAAAATAGCATTCAAAAATGGGGTGCCATAAGGAAGTGTACTATCACCGTTTCTATTTGACATATATACTCACGTTTTTATAATAAAACTGGAATAAAATTTTGATTCAAGTAAAATAGATCATTTTTACCTTTATGCTGATGATTTAGCATTTATTTGTAAGGAATAAAATATAGAATAACTATTAAATTGCTTGTAATCTGCTTCAAGAGAAATGAATCTGCATATAAATATAAAGAAATGTGTCTTAATAAAGATTTGTAAAACAATATAAAGGAAATAGTAGATATAGGATAAGCTTAGAGTAGCTATGGCATTAATTTTCAGAATTCTTACAAATACCTTGGTGTAGAAATAGATGGTAAAGGTAGTATAAATCAACATTTAATTAATATTTAGAAAAAAATTAGATATATAGAGTTTCAAGTCTCAAGACTGTCTAGGAAGTTTACATAGGGAAATTAATTTCTACTGTGGAATATATATGTAAGACCTTAAATATAATATATATTCCCTTTAATGTATACCTAAAATAAGAGTTGTAGAAAAATTGAACAACTATGGAAACAAAGCCTGAAAATGATTATGGAACTTCCAAAATCTACTAAAGATAAATTTTTACAACTAATTTAAGGGAACTGCTAAGATCTTGCCATGGAATAGTAATGAAAAAATGCGATAAAGTGCTAATTTAGACAAGGACTAGAAATTATTGAAGAGGAAGCTGGAAAAAGTAAAAAACACCTGGAAAATTTTGGTGTTATGAATCTTTCGAATAATATCAGAAGATTGTTTATGCTAAATCTTAGAATGTGCAAAGAGCACACTAATTGGAGATGTGGAATAAAACACCTGAATTAGGTTCGTTCAATTAATATCTATGATATTATCGACTGCGCACTAAAATAGAGAGCATGGGCTAACATTAAAAAAGAAACTGAATGCAGAATCCAAGAAATCTTAGAAAAGTACGAAGGGGATTATATGGAGTAATGATTAATATTATTTAAATAATTAAATAAATAATATTGAGATTCAAAAATATCATACTTTTTTACTACTTACAATTAAGTAATTTATTATTTAATATATACATATTAATTATTGAAATTCAATTAAACATAAATATTGATATATTTTATTATATTTGAAAGAAATTTCTTTTGTAATTAAAATTTGTTATATCACTTTTGTACCAATTTACATATAATTTAGTTTTTTAACTTCACAATTTTTAATAATTATATATAATATAAAATATAATTTCAACATTCATAAAATATTATAAGTGAAAATAAGAAAGAAACATTTTTAATTAAATAGACAATATATTTAAAAATAATTAAACATTTAAACTGACCTTATTAATTATGTAAGCATCCTGATTTGACTTTTAAATGAGATTTAAAAAATCATATGTCTTATGAATAATATTCAAATATATTGAAATGAGTTGTTTGTTTTTTTATTGAATACTTGAATAATTTAATAAGTATTTTATGATGAGAATATGATGAATCCTTTTCAATACATCATTTTAAATCTTTGAATTAAAAAGAGATTTAAAACATAAGAATATTACGATGTTGAGAAGACTTTGAATTGAAATTTGTATTAGAATTTCAAAAAAAAAATTAAATAAAAAAATTGAGGAAAGGATAATTAATTAAAAAAAGGGTTCAGAAACTCAATAAAAATATAAAAGTTTAATTTATGGTAATTTGATTTAAGGATTAATCAATTTTAAGCATTTTTTATGTTTATATCAAAACAAAAAATGAATTATAATTTAATAATATTTCTTAACAATGAATATTTTATTATTATTGTCTATTTTCATTAAGTTAATATAATATATATGTAACATATTTCAATTCTCTTTTTAATATTGGTTATTTGATAATATTTGATAAAAATTTATTATAAAAGCTTTAGAATTTCTAATTAATATAAATTAAGCATTATTTACCAATTTCTTAGAATTCATAATAAAAGTAATCATTCTAATCCAATAATTTAATTAATTAAAGGGAATCCAATTGATTTTGACATGAAAAATGTAATATGAGTTAGATAGGTTATGTATGATATTGTTAAATCTGAGATTTCTAAATTCTAAGATTACTCTTATTGCAACTCAACCGAACTCTAATAATGTTTAAATTAAAAAGTAGCATGATAAATATACTATGGCTAAACATATTGGTACTGAAAAACATAACAGAAAATTATGTTATAATAACATAAGGAAAGAATTTAGAACTGTTTTATTGTTTTTTTGGGTATATGTGATTAGTTTAAAATATCCTTTATTTAGGGTTAAACTATAAATATCATGAAGGACTTTTAAGTTAAAATTCATAATGCAGTTGATATAAAATAAGCTATGATTAATCTATGTCAATTGTTATTATATTCATATATATATTATCTTGAAATCTCTACCCGAAATATTAGATCAATTAACAATATATTATGCTAGAGATAGAATGATACATTTCAAAGAAGATCATGATTTTTTATTTAACAATCAAATAAGAGGTTTAAAATATGTTCAAGCTTAATTAGTAATTTATTTAGCTGTTTTTATTGATTTAAATGTTTTTAAAGTTAAAATGATACATAATTTCCTAAAAAATTACTTAAAAAATTTGATATAATATAACTTGGAATAGCACTGATTAGTATTTAGGTATTAGTATGGTTACAATAGTTAATAAAGATGTTTATATTGAAATGATTGTGATATTGAAAGAGTTTGTAAATAGATAGTGATTTTATTATAATTTATATTCAGGGTTGATAAATATTATCTTGTTATTAAAATTTTTATTAAATGGGGAAAGACAAAAAGAAGAGTAGAAGTAGAAGCAAATCTGGTAAAAAGAAAGAGAAGAAAGAAAAGAAGGAAAAGAAATCAAAAGCAAAGAAAGATTCAATAAAGAAGGAGTCCATTAAAAAAAAAGAATCTTTAAAAAAGGAATCTCAAAAGAAAAATAAAAAGTAAAAAGAATCAAAAAAAAAGGATAATAAGAGTAGAAAGAAAAGTCAAAGTCCATCCCCAATGAATGCTTAAAAAAAATAGGCCTAGGATGAATAGAAGTTGAAGGAGGGCGAATAGAAGCGATTATCAAGATTAATGAAAGCAAAACTAATTAAATTTTAGAATTCAGATGATGATGATGATGATGATAAAAAAGAATTTGTTTATAAAGATCCTGAAGTAATTGAACCAATTTTACCACCAGATGAATAATTAATTTATGATTGGTCATAAAGAAATTAAGAAAAATAAATATAAGATGCATTAAAAAAATGTAGATTGGTGGGAGAGAAATTATTTTATGATTCTGATGGAATTGAAGAGGATGATAATCCAGATGAATAATTTTAAGATGAAAATTGTACAGATAATAAATAAGATGCAAAAATGTAAGAAGAATATGATTAGGAAATGTAGAAACAAAATGAAAAGGTAGATAAAGAATAATAATAAAGATTTTTGATAGAGAAAAAAACATTAAATAATGATAGTGATAGTGATAGCGAAGATGAAGTTGCATCTAATGCTAAATTATTTACAAAAAATTTATTATCTATTTCAAAATTGTTCTTCTATTTTATTTTGAAACAAGAAATTAGAACTCTTTTTAGTTTTATTAAATGTCATTTTCACAAAACTTAAAGTAAGAAATTTCTTTAAAAATTAAATAACTTTAATAATTATGGAAATTACAATTTTTTTTGTTGTTGTTCCTAATATATGTCTACTTGAAAAATTGTATATATGGATTTGATTTAAATATATACTTTTTATAAAATAATATTATATAATTTTAATTATTTATTTAATAAATATACAAATATGTATTTGATGAATATATTGAGTATTATTAATTTATGATAATATTAGTTTGATATTAATAAATATATTGATATTTTGTAATCACTAATAAAGTCATCTTATATTATTTTTAATTTTCTATTCTCTAATAAAATTATACTTCTTTTTATCTCAAAAAAAGATTTTGGGATTCCAGCAATGTAAATATCTACTGGGCTCAATCTTTATGAAATATAATCTTCCCAATTATGTTAAACTTACAATATTCTTACTATAAACTCTATTTTTTATAAGAGGTTTATGATTGTTAGATTATATTGAAAGAATAATTACTTTTGTATATTAAAATATATATGAATCAATTAGATATAAAAATATTCAACAATAATATTATATTTTCTCTAAAATATTATATTTAGAAAGAAGTTGAAGTCAAGATTATTGTTTGAATAAATTAATTGTTCTTAATTATACAATTCATAGAGAATTTGAAATTAGAAATTTATGATAAGTTCAGTCTTTATTTTATTAATAATTATTTTAACGAATAGAAATGAGTTTTTAATCAATTTCATCTTCAGATTTATCAGATTCAGATGAAATGACTTTCATAAAAACTGATTAAGAAAGAATTTTAAAAAATTCAAACATATTAAAGAATGATAATAATGAAAGCAACAGTTGTTAAAGGCATCCAAATAAAAAAGTAATTATTTATTAATATTTAGGCAAAATTTTATGTATAACAAAATAGTAGTTAATTATTTTGTTCAAAATGTGCTTTAAATTTAGCTTTGTAAGGCCTTTAGATAGAGGAAACATAAGAAGTATAATTGGAAATATAAAGGAAAGATAAAATAAATAACTTTCAGAAAGATTTACATTAAGCTCTTTAATAATGTGATTAAAAATTAGTTAACTTAAATGATATTAAAGATAAATTAATAAGATAATGGGAAGAATAGAATATGAATTGTGAAGAATTTTTTAATGTAGTTCAAAAAACAACTAATTAATTGAGGTAAACATACTATTAAAAATTCTAAAATGATTATACTACTTCATAAAATCAAGTTTAAGAATAAGTAGATAATATAAAACTATTAATACAATAATTGAAATAATTTTCTATTGATATATTTACAAATCATGATAACATAGTTAAAAAAATGGAAATGAAACCTTTTGATGAGATTATGCAAAAATATTAAAAAAAAGTAGATGAAATCAAATGTCAATCATTTCATAGTCAATTTTAAATATCTTTAAAGTAGCTAAATATTGATTAAAATTAAATTCTAACATTTATGAATAAAATGTGTTATAATTTGCTAATAAAAAATGATAGTATGGAATATAATTAAAAGACAATGACTAGTTAATAAAATTTTGAATGCAATTTGTCTAATAATTAAAATTATATTGACATAATTGAAAATGAAGAAATTCATAGTCCCATCTCTATTATGAATTAAATACAACTATAATCTCCAATTCGTTAATAATTTAATAAATTTGATTCAATTAATTCAAATCCTGTAAGAAGTAATGCAAATACACCTGAAAGTTGGAAATAAAAGCCTAGTTTAAGAAGAGATAACATAACACCAAATGATAAAATATCCTATTAAAATAGTTCTCGTGTTTTAGAGTAAGTTAGTTCAAAAAAAGCTCTTTAAAAATAATTAATTGATAAATACTCTTATTAATGTAATGAAAAATAAAAAACTACAACTGATTATGAAAGAATTAGTGAAAAATCTTGTTCAATATTAAATAACAATCTTAGTTGTTTTTAAATATAAAAATTTCTAAAAGAAGCTGAAAGAGGTAGTCTTGAAGACAGAGAATTGACACCAAAATAAAAAGTGATTACTGCTAGTAAATCTATTATGTATGGTTAAAATTATAATAATCAAATTAAGAATCATTCGAACTAAAAATGTATTTATATGATTGTTAAATTTAGCTTAGTAAAATCTGATATAAAATTATCTCCATAAATAACAAAATGGTTCGGTTCCAAATTTAAAATCAGTTTCTCATTAACAAAAACAAAATGACACTGTATAATTACATCGTCAACAAGAGGGACATTTAAGGTCTAAATCAAAATAAATTAAACCTCAATCTATAGAATAAGATAGTAAAAAATAATTTATTATTAATGCTGGAGTTAATTCAGTATCCTTACCTTAAAATGAAGACACTTTAAAAGATAAAATATTAAAAGAGCTATGTAGTCATCCCAGTGAATCAGTTTATGGTCAAGTATTAAAAAATCATTAATAAAAATAAAAAAATTACAAACCAACCAGCAAAGAAAATTTTGAATGGACTTCTTAGAAAAATAGAACAATAGGATAAAATACAAATAAGAAATTATAATGATTTATGTATTTCAAATAAATCTCCAAGTATATTTTTTGTTTAGCTTATATTTTAATAATCTTTAATTAATTTTATGATCATATATTTAATTTCTAAAATCTTTTTTTTCTAAAATTAAAATCATCATGTTTCTTTTAGGTAAATCATTAATTCTATGTATTTAAGTTAATTTAATAAGCCAATTTGAAATAAAGAAGAATTTCATTCACTAAATAATGATATATTTTCCACAAAATCCTTTTGTAATATTGAAATCTTTGCATTTATTAATTAATTCATTATAAATGAAAAGTGAGAGAATAATTTATAAACCATCTTCTCTTATTTAAAGTTAATAATCGATTTATATAGTAAATACATTTGTAATTCGAATGAAAAAGATCAAATCAATATTTTAATTTATTTAATATTAAATAATAAAAGGATATTGGAATATATATAAATCTATTTATTTCCAAGATAAATGAAAAGTATATATGAGATCAAATGCCTAAAAAATATATTAATAACATATTGTAGAAATGAAATAGGAGGCTCTGAGCAATTCAGTAGCTCAGATAAGTGGAAATTCATAATAAACTTAAATACTTGATGAAATAGAAAAATATAATTGTTATTGGAAACAAGAAATCATTTTGAGTGATTGTGAAGAATAATTTGTTTAAATTGCATCTGATGATGAAAGAGATTGTGCTGCTATGATAAATTTTGGAAAAGCACTTAATATTCAATAAACTGATATTACATAAATAACAGAAATCTTAAACTATCTAGATACTCCTTAATTAAAGATGACCTCTTTATAAAGTCCATAAAATGTTTTGAACTATTTTCTACCTAGTAGTTTTGTATCTACACTTACAGAAATGATTAATCACTATCTTTTGATGGTTTTATAAGAAGATCTTAAATAATAGTAATAATAAACTCAATAAATTTACCATAAGAAGAAATACAAAGAAGCTGAAATTTAATTTTATTTAGGTTTGCAAATTTTATTTGGAGTTTATAGATTTCCATCATTGGATGATTATTGGAATGCTGAATCTTGGTTGAAAGGGGGAGTTGAAGTTACTATGCCAATAGGTAGATTTAAGTTTGTAGATCTTCATATTTTTTCATACTTTGATGAGTTGCAAAGAGCAAAATTATAATTGGAAGTAAGAAAGTTCTCTAAGAAATTAAAAGCACTTTATAATCCTGATTAAGAATTAATAATTGTAGAATAGAATTAGAAAGCATATAAAACATATTATATATTTGACTATGATAGTTCATAAATTATAGATTTATTAGTTGTTTGTAATAATATAAAAAATGAAGACAGAATAAATAGGGTGATGAGAATGCTTTATAAATATTCAAATCAAAATCATGTTACATACATAATGTTTGATCTGAGTTTAGAAAGAATAATTTAATTAGTGGATTAATCTATATATCCAGTTATTCGTTATTAAAATATCAATCATAATTTGATTTAAATGCTCTAGGATGGAGATTATGAATTAGATTAATTGTTCTTAATTAAATAAGGAACATAAGTTGATATATTCCCATAAAGACGTTTAATATCGAATAGACATTATATGACTTCTTATGAAAAAATAAAAGAGTAATTGCAAGAACATATAATAAATCTTTAGTAATTTCGAAGTAACTTTTATTAATCATCATAATTAAATAATACTGAAGGTTTTCATTAATTAAGAGTTGAATTTGAAGAATATTTCGAAATTATGATTCATAATACATTTTTACTAATTCAACAAACATCACAATCTTAATTCAGACATGATTTAGCTAAAGTTTTACTAAATGAGAAGGGATAATAAATTGAAAGAGATCGTAATGAAGCCAAACGTAAACTAAATGTTACATACAAAGAAAATTATTCAAATACAGATCATTTGTCCTTTGGATTATAAAAATAGTATGCTGATCAATTTCATACTCCAATACCTTAAAAATAAGAAGATACTTTTAAATATTGTTTAGTGTGTATGAAATTTGATGGTTTGACCAAACCATACTATAGATGTTAATTATGTGAAAAATTATTAAATGTAAGTAAGATTTTCTTATGTCCTTTTCCTTGTTTTGAATTATTTCATAGGAATCCTAGTGATTTCATAGATTGTGATATGAAAATGTTAGAACCTCTTGGAGATGGAATATATTTTAAAAATGAATCAACTATGCAACTAGTTAATAATGGATAAGAAGAAGATGCAAGTGGAAAAAAAAGAAAATATAATAAACCTCCACCTAGAACCTATTGGTCATTTAATAAAGAAATTTATAGATAAGCAAATATTAATGATGATTAAAATTTGAATGATATTTTAAATACTTTTAAAAAACCATAGGCACCTGCACCTTCACCTAGTTTGTTATAATCTATTGTTCCTTAAGAATAGTAATAATAGACATTAACTTTGGGACATAAAAAGGATATGAAAGATATTGATCATCTCTTAAATTAAGAAAAAGAGTAAAAAGATAAACTAATAAAGGAAATGCAAGAAAGAGACAAACAATTATAAGAGTAATATTTTTAACAGCAATATGAGAAATAATTATAAAAAGAATAAGAAACTAAAAAAAGCAAAAAGGCATAGAAGGAAAGTGAAAAGAAGAAATAATTAGAAGAATAACTTAAGAATGTTAGTCCTCTGGAAAAATTCATGGAACAAATAAATAAAAGAGCAAAAGTAGAGGATATTGAATGATAAATTAGATTTATTGGCAAATTATATTATATATATAATTAGATTTAGTATTATTTAAGAAATACTGAATTTTGCATATAATATTATCATCTATTGTAGAATAGACCTCCATAATTTCTAGAATATCCATTAGTAGTGCTTTTACTATGATAATCATTCAAAACATAATTGCTTTTTTTAAATCCTTATTACACAGCTACTGTAGGATCGTATTATTTCAATAAGCCTAATTCTTTTAATTTATAAACATTTTTTTCAAGTAGTTTATTGTTTATGATCAAATTTGCATCTTCTAAGATTGAATCCAATATATCTCCTTATTTTCTGTTTAAATAGCTTCTGCTAGATTGATTCTCAACAATTAAGGTTTCCTTTAACTTCTTGATTGCAGGGTTTGAATTGGCCATAGAACAAGATCTTCGATTATTTATTTATAAATAAGGCAGTTTCTCTTAGGAAGATTGCATTAAATTAATTATTCAAAATCATTTCACTTAGACAGGTTTAAAATATAATGCAGTTGCCCTCTTTTTTTTCTTATGATGTTCTGCCTCTTTCTATGGACTTACAAGTTGATTATCTCTTAGGATATACTGACGATATTTCCTTAAATATTATTATTTTTAATTATTACTTTATAAATTCGTAAGGAAACGTTAGGAAAAGACTTAATTACTTCCACTATTCAAAGAATTTTAAGTTAATTTTTGTTGTTTTAAATAACCAAGCAGAATTAAATTGTGGATAATAATACTTGAAATTTTTAATGCAATCTATTTCTAAATTAGCCCTTTAATTCAATTTTAATTTTAAGTCTTCTAACAGTACTTTATCACTTTCTCTTAATCCATCATCATCAAATTCTCTAAGAGTATGTAATTCTAAAACTTAATTAATCTAGTTTGGAGGATGTAATTTTTATCTTATTTATTTTATATTTAAGGCTTATCTATTAGAAAACTATCTTCTTGTTACACTTTACATTTATTAAAAGTAATTTTAATGAGAAGCTTTCCATGATTCTTTCAATTCAAATTCAGAAGAATCTGATGATTCTATTGTTGGAATAGTTAATTAAATCTTATCCAAATTATCATTTTATTTAAGTTCTTTAAAAATGGCTCTTCTTTTTCTTTCAAATTTTCTTTTATAAGATGATCTATTTTATAATAAAGGATATTAATGTTTTTTAATTACTGAATCTTTGTCTGGATTGAATGTAAGTAAAGGGCATTATTGAATAGTATGTTAAAGACTTTTACATGAGTAACAATCCATACCAAAATATGATTTATCAAATATAAGTTACTCTTTCAATTGACAATATTATTCATGATCTTCTGAATATTATGAAAGAACTTTCATAAAGTCTTTTTTTGTAATGAATACTAATTTACTAAAAGCAACAGATGTGTATCTTAAGGATGGAATATCATCAAGCATAAATTCTCTTAATCCAAAATTATCCCCTGCTTAGAGTGTGGCTAATCTCAATCTATTATTTCTAAAATATGTTCCAATAGATCCTCTTTCTATGAAGAATAAACAAGGTTAATCAAAAGGAACTGTTTTACAAGGTGTAAGTGTCATTGATTAAACATGTTTCAAACATTCAGCTTTAAATTCATGAGAAAAATAATCATTAAATAATTTACAACCTTTGACTATAATTGAATTAGCTTCAAAGATTAGATTTTCTTAAAGGTCTTAAGATAATTAACCTATTATATCCTTTACTTCTAAATTTTCTTCTAGTTTTTATTCTTTCCAATAAAATGTTAAATATTCTCTTATTTCATATTTGAGTTAATTAGAAATATTCACACTCTTCATATAAGTATTAATAGCTCTCATTTTACGAATATGATCCTCACTTTTCTCATTCAATTTAGAATATACATTCCAAATAGCTGATACTGTATATGATAATTGTAAAGTTGAACAAACCATAAATCCTATTGTCACTAATCTTTCATATACATCTAATAAGATATTTGAAGTAGATTACTTTTTGGAACAACATCTCCATACCCTACAGTAAACATTGTAACAGACGAAAAATAAAAGGCTGCAATATATTGATCAGTATAGGTGGCATCTGATAATCCATTTGCTTTTATCCATGAATCTTCAGCAATATCTTAAATTCCAACAAAATACCAAATACAACTAAATAAATGTTCCAGTAAGAATAGAAACATCACTAATTTAATCTATAATAATTTAATATTTTACTAGATCTATTAGTAATGAAGTAGATTCTGAATAATCTTAGCTGTTTTATAATCTTTAAAAGACTCGAATTATATTTTATAATTAGATAATAATTCCTAAGATACTGATCACACTTCTAACATAGTTATACTCTCTTAGTGACTAGTGTTTATAATCAATATAACTATTTTGTTCACCAATTTCTTAAGCAAGAACTAAAACTAATGTAATAACACAAAAAATATCATAAATAAAACCATTCCTTATATAATTTCGAGCTACTTTATAATGGTTCGTTATTAAATATCCTTTCTCATAAAAAGATGTTATGAAGTTAAGTAAAATATCAAAGATTAATAAAGCAGTGGATACTTGCAATGTCCATAAAAGTTAATTGTAAAGTAGTTTGTTATTGAATGCTGTTTCATAAGGAATAGCAAACAAAAGGTAAAACCTAATAAAAGCTAGAAATATATCCCATATTAATTTGAATTCATTGTTTGGATTGATTATTGGAATAAGCTTTATTGATTTAGTTATTTTCTATGCAATTTTTGACTTCTTTATTTCTCTCCATTTTCTGGTCAATTTTCTTTTCAATCTGGCAAATTTAGATTTGTTTACTTTTCCCCATACTTATCCAGTTTTCTATGACACTTTTCAAAATAATCAATATATATTTTACTAATAACATTCTTTTCGAGAAACATCTTTTATGATGTGATAATGTATTGGAGCTAGTTATTAGTATCTTTTCTTGTTTTGAATAGCTTTGTTCTTCATTCTAAATCCATAAAACTTGGCTCTCATTGATTAAAAAGCACTATGAATTTTACAAAGTTCTCTTACTTTCCATTAGTATTGAGTTATTTAGTTAGTAATAGTTTATCTTCAATCTTATAAGCCTCACTTTAATCTAACATGTTGGTAGCAGTTAATATAATATTATAAAAATTGAAAAGAATCAATAATGTATGTTAATTCATTGTAATAGCCAATCAACCCTTAATGGAGACTTGAGACATTTTTAAGTACCTTTTAATGTATATAATTCTGATCTTCCATCTCTTCCTTTCATATAAAATTCAACAATATAATTTTCATCAGCTCTAATTGATAAAATATCTAAAAATAATTATGATTTTGGTATATTCCTTTAATGGCCACAAAGTTATAAAGATTCCCCTTGAAATTAGCATTTAGAATATACAGTGATACAGGCTAAATAAATGTCTATAAATACCTCTATATTCATATTTATTATCATATTTATAAGCACTTCTATAAAAATCTCTTTGTCTTGGCTCTGTCCTTTTTATTGAAGAAGAACCATAATAATTATCTGCCTCACAATTTTCTGGATTATAGTTTGTAGATTTTGCATCACATGGATCTGAATAAATACTTAATTAATATACTATATTATACTATAATTTGCTAATAACTTCTCTGAAGAATCTTCCTAACTCTTAGTCGTTTGGATTTTTTGGTATTGTAACACTCTAGCCAGTTAAAGGAGGTCCTCTTCTAGCGCTATACCTTCCAGAATAAACATCTTCTCTCCCATAATCGTCGTCCCTTCTCCTATAGTCTCTTCCCTAATATTCTGATTTTAAATATCTATCTCCTTTGCTATAATATTCTTCTCTACTTTTTTCCCTTTGATGAAATGTTTTTTGAAATTACTATTCCTTTTAAATTTACAATTGTTATTCTATCTCTTCTTTCAAAATTTCCTTTTCTATTTTTTATAATTATTGTTGTTTTCTTAAATTTTAAGATTCTTTCATATTATTTCCTTCCTCAGTATCTGATTAAGATTTTTATTTTTTTTTTAGAATTTCGTTTTATCTTGACTTTTAATCTAATTCTTCTTTTTTACTTTAATAAATTTATTTATGTTGTTGTTATTATTATTATTATTATTATTATTATTATTATTATTATTATTATTATTATTATTATTATTATTATTATTATTATTATTATTATTATTATTATTATTATTATTATTATTATTATTATTATTATTATTATTATTATTATTATTATTATTATTATTATTATTATTATTATTATTATTATTATTATTATTATTATTATTATTATTATTATTATTATTATTATTATTATTATTATTATTATTATTATTATTATTATTATTATTATTATTATTATTATTATTATTATTATTATTATTATTATTATTATTATTATTATTATTATTATTATTATTATTATTATTATTATTATTATTATTATTATTATTATTATTATTATTATTATTATTATTATTATTATTATTATTATTATTATTATTATTATTATTATTATTATTATTATTATTATTATTATTATTATTATTATTATTATTATTATTATTATTATTATTATTATTATTATTATTATTATTATTATTATTATTATTATTATTATTATTATTATTATTATTATTATTATTATTATTATTATTATTATTATTATTATTATTATTATTATTATTATTATTATTATTATTATTATTATTATTATTATTATTATTATTATTATTATTATTATTATTCTTCTTATTATTATTATTATTATTCTTGTTACTCTTTCTCTTATTATTCTTATAATTATTATTTATAATTATCAAATTCTTCTTTTTTAAATGGCTATTGAACTATTGAATTTTAGTTTACTACTGAATCTTCATTTTATTAAGATTCTGGATGGCTTTCTTCTGGTATTAACATTGCTTCACTAAAGTATCTTGGTTCTTCTTAATTTATATCGATTTCATTTTAATTTATTTCTTCCTCAGCTGTAGAATATTCTAAATCATTTTAGTCAAATTAATCTTCTTAAACAGTTTATATCAATTCTGTTGGCTACTTTAATTATTTATGTATTTCTTTATACTAAATTGGCTTAACATCATAATATTTTTATTAAGCTTCACAATGATCTTCAACTAAAATTATCATTAATAATTTACTCTATTAAATTATAAATGTCTTTTAAATATGATCAATGAATTCTCTAAACAATTATAAACATTAAATATCTGTTAATTCATTTTAAGATGTAAATACTAAAACATAGGTTCTTCCAATAATATTTTAAATGTAATGAGAATCTAAATTTATAATGAATAAACTTACAAACATTATCATTAATACTATAAAATACTTCTAAATTTTCATTTTGTTCATTAATTATTAAAGAATTAATACTTTATTGTTTATAAGTAATTTTAAGAAGTGACCCAATATATCCTCCATGATTCATTTCTCTATTATTAATTTCAGATGAAAATAAAATTGTAAAATCATTCTAAACAACTGTTATATTATCAAACATTTCAACAAATGGAGTATCCTAAAATTAACCATTAGATTTGAATTTAATTAATTAATCAGAGTGCAAATCAAATGGAAATTTTTTAAAAAAGCTTAATGAAATATCAGAACATTGTTATTGAGCATTTTCACACACATTATTCCTTTAGTGAATGATAAATACACAATCTTAAAATACATGTTCAATCAAATCAATTGAAGGAAATTTCATAAATTAGGAAGTAACAAATGAAAAAACAAAGACTTTTGAGTCAGTCATACCAATAGTTATATAAGCTAGATTTTCATCTTCTTTGTAATTGATTACAATCCCTTCATCACTTTCAAAAATTAGAACATGAATAAATCCTCTATTTTCTTATTAAAGTGTCACAATTAATCCACTTTAAGGATAATCAATTGTTTATTAATGAGTTTCCATATTTTTAATAGGTATTCTCAATTCAAGTACTTTATTATTTAAATTTTAAGCAACAAATACTTAAAGTCCTGGATAATTTTTTGTAAAATATTCATTATCTAATGACCCATTTATTATTTCATTTCCAAGATGATAATGTATTGGAGGATGATAGAGATCAGGAGTATGAAAGGTTAAGCGTTCAAAATTATTATCTAAATTACATTTAATTTATTCTAATGAAATTGAAGCGACCTTTTATTAACAATATTCTTGGTCTTCAGATTGATTAACTAAATGTACAAACCGTTTTAAAATCAACATAGGATCCCCTTTACCTCCCCATGATACAATATAAATAAAGCCCATATTCTAAAATTTATCTACAGCATCCGTTTTACCAAAAGAAAATTCTCTCACTAAATTTTCTTTGGATATCAATAAATGACCTCCATCTTCTTCCTTATCAACAAAATAGCCATTATAACCGTTATAAAGATGAACAGAAGCAGTGGTTCTATTTTATTTTACTTTGAACTCCTAGATTGATAACCATTAAATTTCACTAGCATTGCCTGCAAAAATGTAAGCATCAGTAAATCCCACCAAGAAATAAGAGTTATTGTTCAAACTTTATGAAGATTTATAACTTTATTAGATATCTAATGCAAAATGAGGTGATTGGCTAGTTAGTATATAAGGCATCGTACTCAGCAATTAAATAAATATATTACTTCTCATTCTATTAATCAACTAAAAAGAATGTTTATTATTCATAAAATAGGCGTAGTCCACATAAAAAGTTCTCCTCATTTAACGAGTAAATAGCTTAGATTAAAAAAATTATAAACATTATTATTATATAAATAATAAAATAGAACTAAGGAATTCCACTTTAATAAGTTTTATTATGTATAGTATATCATAAATAATCATCTATTTTTAAAGTATAACTTTTTGATTTTAAACTTTAATTAAGATGATTTATAATCTGAGGTATTTTGAGAATGTATCACTCAATAATTTATTATGAATTGATAATAAATTCAAGCTATTGTCTTAATAATTAATAAGATTCTTATAATTATAAAGATCTAAGGTTCATAATAATTCTTTTGATATTAACTAATTTATTTATATATGAATTAATTCAAGAATAGTAAATTAAATACTTTAGGATATGTCAGAAATTATCACTCTGATTTTGGTTCATCTAATATAATCAATCATACACTATATCATAAATATGCATCTTCTCAAAATTATTACTTCACAAAAGAAATTAATGATATTTTAAGTAAAAACCGAACTTCAGCAACAATTAAGTTTTATGTAACCAATTCATGAATAATTCAGGATGATATGTAATATTTAGAGAATGATGAATGTATGTCGAGAGTTTATTATTTTGATGATTACTATTCTAAAATTTAATTGCTGGTTGAGTTTTATAAATATCATCATGATTTGCCTAGATTTACTGTAGATGAAGAAATCATATAAATTTTGAATTTGTATTATGATAAAAAGAGGAAATTGGAGTACTATAAAATATAGAGATAAATAGAATATGAAAATTTAAAGAATCCTGATCAACCATAAAAAGGAATAGTTGGAGATAAACCTATTGAATCATAAAGTACTCCACAATCTGAAATTAATGGAGATTCTACTATAAACAATAATATAGAAAATATTCTGTAAGATGTTATTACCTAGTAGAAAAGCTAAAATTAAATTTCTCAATAAGATATAAGTTAAATTACAAAATTTTAGGATGACTAAAAGGGTGAAATTCAATAAATGCTTGATATTTTTAATTAGGGAAACTAAAAGAATACATAAAAATATTCATTTTAGAAAAATATTAGTCCATCTTTAAGTTAACATCATAAATTAAATGAATAGATAATACCACATTCCAATCATAAATAATACACTTAATAACATTAAAATTTTAGAATACCTTAAACAACAACAAGATATCCATCTTCTTCTTTAAGTAGAAATTTGAAAACATCTTCCCATGAAAAAAAACTTGATAATAATTTTACTCATTTATTTAATAAGTGTCCCTAAAGAAAAAGAATAAAAATAGAAAATAAAAATGAAATTAAGAAAGATTTTAAGAAATCAGTCCCAGATATTAAATCTTTAGGAATAAGAATCTTAGCTTGTATGAATTAAATAGAAAAATATAAAATGAATACAAAATGTGTATCTTCACTAGATAATAAAGAATTACAAAAGATTTTATTTTCAGTTCATTAACCTGCATTCTCATCAAATATTAAACTATATAAAGGTTCATCAACTCAATCTATTAAAATATCTCAATAAATTAATACATAAGATGATTAAATAATTAATTAAAGCCCAATTAATTTTCATACTACTTAAACTCCAAGAACAAACTAGGATGGTTCTAACTTTTTCAAAAAATAATTCTTAGAGTAAAAATAAAAGGATAATGCAAAGGTTTTAAGAAGACTTATGGTATATAAGAAGGATAATCTTATCAAAACTCAAAAAGATTTACGCTAAATCCCAAAACTTAATCTTAATAGAGTTAATAACTTGAATACTAATTCATGTTGTAATACTCTTAGAATAAATGGATTCAATCAAAATATTGCTAACTAATTAACACCAAAATCTTTCACTTTTAGATCTAGAATCAATAATATAATAAGTTAGTAAATAAAAACAATGTAAAATAATTACAAAAAAAACTCAATTAAACAATGATAATTTAAAATGTGTTATAAACAAATTAAATTTTGAAGGAATTAATAAAAATTATCATATATATATTCATTATAAAATTAAAATATTTTTTTAAAGTCATATAAAAATAATAAATTATTTTATTAATAGATTATAGAATTAAGAATCAAATTGATCTAAATTTCCTAAGTTATCCTAATAAAACTAATTTTATTATTAAATAATGATGAGATTATGATAATATTTGAGGATTAATAACCTAAACAATTCATTAAAGTTATTTACGGTTAAAAAACTCCAAATATATATAGAGCATAAAATCATTATAATTAAAAATAAAGGGATAGATTCAATCTATTTATCAATTCCTAATCCTCATTTGCCAAGACAAACATTGTTTAGTTTCTTAAAATTACAAAAAATATAAATCATTTATAAAATTCAAATTTAGATATTCCAAAAACTTTATTATATTTTAATAACATAATTTATTAAATCTAGTCCAATCTTCAATTAAATTTAACTCACATAGGTGAAGATTAAAATTCTGATTTTATTTAGTTTATTACATTTTAGTTTATTTTTATGTAAAAATAAAAAGAATTCCTAAAAAACTTATATGGATATCTTGTAAAAATTTTTTATTTTAAACAATAAATCTTAAATTTTTAGAATCAGATTATTTTGAGGAATAAGAGGAGACTTTTAATAAAAATCGCAAAACGTATAATCAATATAAGAAATTGTAAACTAACAAAATTTAAGGTATATAATCAAAAATTAAAGAAAATGAGATTTTGAGAAAAAAAAAGGTAAAATAAAGTAAAATTATTTATATTATGCGTTTTCAGTATAATCCATAACTTAATAAATAGTTAATTTTAATGTATATTTGATTTAATAAAGCATATTTAGTCTTTAACTTATACTTAGTTTATTATATATTATTTAAATGAGCAATTTAAAATCTAACATGATTTAGAATACTTATGAAGGTATACTTTTTATAAATTTGATTAGGAATTAATTTTAATATAATTTATTACGTATTTATCAAACCAGTAGATTGATACCCTTATATTCATTATGATTTCTAATCTTTTTATAATATAAATTTTAAGATATTAATATGGGTTCATGTTCTTCACAATAGATGAAATAATCAATGAAAGCTAAGATTTAAGAAGCTAAACAAAAATAATCATAAACAACTACTCCTAATAGGCAAACAACTAATTAAAATGGTATGAGATCACATTCTAGACACAATACATACACAGCATTTTAATCTAATAGTGATTTGAGTCAGCCAGGATAAAGTTTGAAAAACTTAAATTTCTTTCTGATATATAGAAATACAAATTTTTCTTCTTTTTACAGCTTACTCAAGAAAGAGGATAAAGAATTCCCTTTTACAACAATTTAACACAATAATGCTGGAACTGTAAGAATAATAAAGAGCTATAAAACTTCTGATTCTAAATACATAGCTTAACTACTCAAATATTAACTTGTATTTTTTATATATATCTTAGCATCATCCTAATTTGATCTAATAATTTGAAATATATGAGGAATAATAAAAATATCATGTGGCTGAAGAGAATAACAATAAAATAGTAGTGTTGAATTAAAAAACATATAATAATGAAAAAGAAATAGCTTTTATTTTCAATTAAATAGTTGAGGTTATTGAATATTTACATCATTAAAAATTAACTCATGGACATCTGACTTTGGAATGTTTTGCTCTGTTTGGTGATAAATATATAAAGTTATATGATTTATTCCATTTGTTTATGAAGAAAAAGCCAACTCTAGAAGAAACACACTATTTACCACCAGAATATTTTGATAATCAAGAATATTCTGAAGAAAGAGATATTTGGTCTTTGGGAATAATTCTATATAATTTACTTTATCATTGTTCTCCATATGAATCTAACACAGCAAGTTTACTTAAATTAGATATATAAGCATCAAATATTTCATATTAAGATAAAATATCAGATGAGGCTATATCTATATTATAATAAATATTAGAAAAAAATCCAAAAAAAAGAATTAAAATAAGTGAAATTACAAAACATCCTTGGTTTAAAAAATAATAAGTTTTTTTAGAGGATGATCATATTAGAGAGACTTTGGAAAGATTAAGATAATCAAAAAAACTTAATATTTTATAAGTTTACTTGCTTAAATTCATTATTAATAATTATCCACCTGATAAATTAAGAGAAATATATTCTGTATTTAGATCACTTGATTTAGATAATGATGGATTTTTCAGTATTTCAGAGCTTATTACATCCTATTCTAATTATGTTGAAGATTCTGAAAAGACTAAAACTATATGCACTAATATTTTTTAAAAGGTAGATATGGATAAGGATAAAAAAATTACTTTTGAAGAATTTATTTTGTATGCTTTTGATAGAAAAGAATTAATTGAAGAAGAAGTGATTGACACAAGTTTCAAATTATTAAAAAATAAAAAGAATTTTATTACTGCTGAAACATTAGCTACTTAATATACTTTAGATAAAGAATACTTTACAGAAATAATGACAGAAAATTTGAAAAAAGATTATGTATTATTTATCTTATAATTTAGATCACATTTTAAAACTTTAAGGATCTAATGAATAAAACAGTTTGATAGTAGAATTATGATTGAATAATATTTATGACTAAATTAAATAACCAATAATTTAATTCTCTTTAATTCTTTAAATTATATATAAAGAAAAATTAAAAAAAGTACATTTATAGTTACTTAGATGATATAAATAATAATAAAGTCAATCTAAGCAAATCATCCAGAGTGTTTTTAATAATTAATCTGCTGTTTTCCTTTTATCTACATCTCTTTCTAAACAACTTAACAACACCTCTTCAATCTCTTCATCAGATGATTAGATATGCAGATCTTATTTTTTTATTTTCATTTATAATTCTTTTTCTGTATGACCACTAAAAGGAAACTTATTAAACAATAAAGCGTAGAGTACAACTCCACAACTCCAAATATCTGTCAATTCGTTGTATCTTGGATTTGGAGGAAGCATTTCTGGACTCATGTAAGAAGGAGTTCCATATGTTGTATTAATATAACCATCTATTTCTGTAGCAAAACCAAAATCAATTAGTTTGATCTCTCTTTATAGTTATATTTAATTTACTTTTAAGCATTGATTAAAATATTATCCAATTTGATATCTCTATGAATTATTTTTTTATTATGTAAATAACTAATAGCCTTTAATAGTTAAAAGAAAATTAATTGAATATCAAATTCTGATAAATTTTTAACCTTTTTCAATGATTGATCACCTCCATATTCCATTATTAAATTAATCTAGCATATATTCAAAATATACATTGTTATTAGACTCGACTACTTTAATTAGACGGATTATATTCTTATGATTACATTATCGAATAATTTGAATTTCTTTGGCCACTGCTCTAGCACGTTAAGGATCATATAATCTTTCTTTAGAATAAACCTTTATTGCTACAATCTAACCATGGACTTTGTGTACTCCTTTTCTGACAATTGCATAAGAACCTTAACCAATCACTTCTTAAATTTCATATTCATCTAATGTAGCTCTTTTCTTTTAAGGTTTTTATTCAATTAATGGTGTTTCCTTTATTTCTAATTTTTCACTAGTTAGTTTCTTTATCATCTAAGGTGCATTTGAATTTGATCTAATTTAAACTACTGATTTAACAGGTTCTATTCTTTATTTCTTTGTAATTTTATTTTCTTCTCTATTTTATCTTGGAGAAGTAGGAGCTGGTTTTGGTTTTAATAACAAATTTGATAAAACAGGCAGTCTTGGTTTCATATGTACTTTTTTTTAGCGAATTTCAGTATTTTCAGTTTGATCCTCTTAGATTATTTTATTATCTAAGCTTGTTTATTTAATTTTAGCATCTGGTCTTTTCAAAATTTCAGGAAGGGTTGTAAATTTAGGATAAGAATCATTAGTAAGTTGCCACATTATAAATTTAATATAATATAATAATTATTATCATTCAATATCTAAAATTATTCAAGATGTTTGAAATGAATATTTAAATAAAGAATTATAAAATTTGATTGATAAAATGTGTATTTTCTTAATTTATTTTTAGTAAAATTAATCAAATACTTAAGATAAGTATAATAATTTTATTGTCAGAGAATCTGTAAAATAGAGAGTAATAATAATGATTATAAATTTAAATTATATAAATATGAAATTTGTGAATAAGAAATCAATTTTGATTATTCATAATCTACATGCTTTCAGGTGATCTAAGTTTTGGTTTTTCAGGACTAGAAATGAGATGAAGAGCTAAATAGGCAATCATTCTAATTCCAACAGCCAATCCTATTAAAATGTAACAGCATTCCCATATAGATAGAGTAATTGATAACATTTCTACAGGATTGCATACTTATCCTGGTAAACATTCATAATTTACATCATCAAACTCATTCTATTAAATAATAAGAAAATAATATTACAATAACTGAAGCTTCAAATCCATATTTAAACATTGATAAATAAGTGAATGGATAGAAAATATAAGGAATATTATCTTGATTGACAAAAAATCCACCTAATATCATAAAAGGAATAACTAAAGCAGGAACTAATGCAGTAGCAACTTCTATTTTTGGTATTATTGTTGATAAAAGTAATCCATATGATACTGCATATTGATATGTTAAGAATTAAATAAATATTAACATGAAGAATTTTCCAACATTAATATCACTTAATCCAATAACATAATAAACAATGATAACACAAAGAGATGGATATAAAATCTAAAAAGGAAATTCTGCCAAAGATCTTGCCCAAAAGAATGAATGTACACTATAAGTTTTATTTATTCTTTCTCTTAAAAATAAAGGTCTTTCCATTGAGAATGTATGAAGAGCGCCTTAGATTCCTCCAAATGCATTAGCTGTACAAATAAAAAAGAGTGCTCCGAAACGATTTTATAATCCTTCATTATATTTTCCTAACTATAATATTATGATTAATATTTACATCTGAATAAACTAACATAAGCATGATTGCATTAACAATTGATTAAAATATTTTTAATTTAACATCCATTGGATTTCTAATTTCATTTAAAAAGGATCTTTAGTAGATCAAAACAAATTATTAAATAAATCCAATATGAAATCCAGAATCATTTTCTTTGATCACAGCATTTTCACTTGATTGTAATTCTCTAATCATATTCGAAGAATAATAATTATTTATAAATTATTAAAGTCTTTCTTCAAATTCTTCTTTGATTTTAGCTTCATCAAAATCTTCAGATTCTCCTGCCTATATTTTCTCTACTAAAAGACCTTCTTCATTCATTAATTTCATAAAATAATCTGAAGGATTTGAAAAATTAGGACATTAAAAGCCCATATTTGCAAAATAATTAATAGCTTATTCAGCATCTCCTTAATAAATAATATTTCCTCTGACTAAAAGCATAAGTCTATCAAAATTGTTAAAGATTTCAGATGAAGGTTAATGAATAGTACTGACAATAGTTCTTCCATTCTTTGCCAATCTTTTTAATAGATCAATAACTTATAAGGCAGTAGAGGAATCTAAACCAGTAGTTGGTTCATCAAGAAATATCAAACTTGGATTTGTCAATAATTCTACACCAATACTTGCTCTCTTTCTTTCACCTCCTGATACACCTCTAATTTAAGTATTTCCTACTCTGGTATCTGCACATTTTGTAATACCCAACTCTCTGATCAGAGCTTCTACTCTCTATTGTTTTTCTTCTGCAGATATTGTTAATCTCATATTAGCTGAAAAGTAAAAGGCCTCTAAAAGTATTTATAGTTATTGTACCTCTTGGTGAGAATGTTGCAAGTAATATATCATCTTACATAACATATGCCATTTAATCATTGAATTTATCAATATCTTCTATTCTTTTTCCATTTAACATAAGTTCTCCAGATATTTGTAAATTGTCAGATATTAAACGACCAGAGAGAAAGTTTAAAAGAGTAGTTTTGCCTGATCCAGAAGGACCAAGAATTGCAGTGAAATGTGCTGGTTTCATTACTCCTTTAAGATTATTTAACAAACACTTTTAAGTGCTAATCTATAAATAAATTATGAATAAATATACTTTTCCAACTTTAATAGTTGCATTAATAATAAGTTTGTCCCATTCTAATTCAATAGGAGTAAATTTTCCTAATGAAAATTCAGCTCTATTATCTGTATTTACTAGTTGTTCTTCTCTATTTGCTAATGTTTAGAGATTATTATACCATAGGTTTAAAGCTTTTCTGCCATTAAAACTTATTTAATTTATTGTTCAAAAATGTTATTATTAATCTTTAGAATATTAGAATTGATAAATCTAAAATTTAGAATTCTTCTATTCCTAGTATTAATATAAAAAATTTATTTTTAATAATATAAATATTAGAATATAACTTAAATATTATTTATAATACAAATTCTTTTTCTCTTAAAATATCTGAATATATATCTTATAATTAAATACTTATTAAAATAACATTATTTATTCTTTTTCAATCTTGATATTTTTCTTTGAGTTTATTTTTTCTATCTTAAATTACATTTAATTAGATCTATATATATATTTATAATATTCAATATTGGATAATTAAGAATTTATTTATATTGATTATATATTTAAAGAATAATAATGTGAAGGAAATTCTATAAAATAATAAGAACAAATATATTTTATGATTGTTTTATTTATAAATAGTTATATATTAAATAAAATTTTAATATGAATAACAATACATTAAATAAATCGAGAAGATTGTACAATACTTGTGATACTAATTCACAATTAAGAACTATTCTACTAGCTTCTTTAGCAAAATTACAGTTAATATAATAATGTTATTGTTTAGTTCTCAAAGCACAGCTTAGACTGGTTATAGTGAATTAAGGACTTTGATAGCATAATTACAATAAAATCAATTTGTGATTTTAACGAATTTACTTGATTCTAATGACATCTCAAAATAAGCAAAAAAAGATTATATTAAAGTATTTGGTGTATTAGCAGAAATAAGAGGTAGCGATATTTAAGAGTAGTTACCAAGAATTGTATAAATTATAAATAAAAGAATATAAGAGGGTAATAATTTTGTTAATTTGTTCTAGGAGATTCTACATTCATTTAAGTGATATCAGATACATTTGCTAATATCAATGAATTTACTATCTAAACTTCACCTAATAAATATGAGTTATTTTAATAGATTACAGAATTACTATAATCTAATTTTGTACATAATAATAGAGTTGCTTAATAAATTAGTGCTTAATCATTATGTAGGATAATTTAAACAACAGATAAATAATTAATGGAGATCATCTTTAAATCATATACATCGAAAACCTTAGAAATTTTAAAGTATATCTTGAAATATAATTGTAATTAGATCTCCACACTGCAAAACATAATAAGGATTATTAGAAAGTTTACTAAGTCTTATATTGACAGTAGAAGTAATCTTTGAACCATGTTTAGAGGAATGTGTACATACTATTACAAATTGTTTGCATTCAGAAGAATGGAACTCACGGTATTAATATAGATATTTCTAGAAAGTTTTCATTAGATATAATTTATTCATTAAGTGTGATTTTCCCTCACTATTTTAGAGTAAATGAACATTTCGTCAATAAAATAGGTGAATTAAGATTTGATAAAATAAAACATGTAAGAGATGCAGCCTTAGTAGCAATGTCATCACTTAAAGATACAAGATCATTATAATAATAATCAGCTAGAGAACATAAATCAGTGTTTAAATCTAGTGCTAATAAAGGATTCTTTGAAAGAACATCTGATATATAAATTATAGAGAATAGACCAAGAGATGAAGAAATCTAAAAATAGAAATCAACATTTGCTGATATTCTTGTTAAAAATGAAACTCATTCATTTACACTTCCTAATTAATAGATTGAAAGTGAAAAGAGAGCATCACCTATATAAATGTTAACAGATTCTAATAAAAACCATTCTCCTTAATGTTCTCCATATATTTAAGCAATTCAACCTACATATCATTTTAGTAATTCTGGATCTAGCAATTAAAAAGAGAAGAAATATATTAATTAAAGTTAAGAGATTCCTAAATCATAAATTTAACTTGCAACACCACCTTAAAAGTAATTCTAAGAAAAATAAGATTTATTAAAATTATATGATTCAGCCAAAGCTAAATAAAATGCCATATTTGAATAAATCTTAAATTAAAAATTGTAAATTTCAGAACAAAATACACGTTCAGAGATGAATCAATTAAACAAAAGAATAGATAAAATTGAATAGATGTTAGAAAGAATGTCAGAAACTATAGATAAAAGATTAAATTAATAATAGAATTCTTAATAACAATAATAAATTAAATCTCAAAAATAAAAAGTAGTTCCTGTTGAATCTTATTAAGATTAATTTATTCCTTGCTAAATACATTAAAATTATTAATCTCGGAATCTCTAAAATTAAAATATATTTGACTCTTTAAATGATGCTCCTTAAGAAACTAACACTAAATTATAAGATATTTTTTTCATAGCTTAAAAGTCTTAATTAAACACTGAATCAAAACTGTAAGAATCTAATTTTGAACTAAACTCTGGGAAAATAAGTGATGCTGAATGTAAATTTAGTAAGAATCATTAAAAGTCAACATCAGAGGCTTCACCTTTAAGAAATAAAGATTAATCTATTCTTACTACTGATAGTAAAAAGACATAATAATAATTACCATCTCCTATTATTTAAAATGCTAAAGTTATTGAATAACAAACAGTTATGTAAAAAGTAGAAGATTAATTAGAGGTAAATTTATTATCATTATTAGAAAAATAATATTAATGAAGCTTATTCTACAGCATTAACATCATTAGATGATTAGATTATAATATCAACTATGATGAAGACTGGACCATGTACTGAGAGATTAGATTCTACATAAGTTGAATTTTTATTACATAAATTAAGAACATTAGATTGGATTGAAAATGCACTTCAACATCATCTTGCAAGAATGCCAGCTATTTTATTAAAATCAATATCAACATAATTAAATAATGTATAATAAACAGACTAAGTTAAAAGAATATAAGAGATGATCGAAAAGAAGAAGATGTAATCATAAGAATGATATAATCATTTTATTTTTTTTGGCCTTATTAAAATTTTATAAACTATTTTATAAAGTAAAATTATGAAATTAATAAAGAATTATATTAAGGATTTAATATTAAATATAAATAATATCTAAGGACAATTAAAGTTAAATTTAAAAATACTTTAATTATATATTTTCTCATTCTAAATAAAAGTTATCATCTAATTATTAATTAATAATATAAAAATTAAAGTTGAAATATTTTATTTTTAATCCTGAACACATATTTAATCTATCATAATTATTATTATTATAACTCAAAATTCAGTTGTGGTTAAATTTTTGAATTTTACTAATAAGCATTTTCCTCTTCTACTTAATTTAATAATTAATTAGGTTAACTTAATAAGAGAAAATCTTTTATAAGAAATGTTTTATTTTCTTCATCTGAATGCTCTTATGAAATTTCAATCAATTCTTAATCAAAATCTTAATTAAAATTTCTATTTGTTGGTTTTAATAGAATTCCAAATGAATGACTTTCTTATAACTTTTTACGACCAAATTGATGTTATAAAAACATTTATATTCTTGAAAGTTCATAAATGATATTGATATATACTAGTCTTTTTTAGGCTTATTCAACCAAAATAGAACATGCCTTTTTATCTTAATCTACTTTTGAGTTCTTGAGTTATTTATAATCAGCAAAATAAAAGCTTAAAACCTAATCAATCAAGCTTCTGTCTAATATTTTTTCATTATAATATAATATTATATACTTCAACATCAAAAGTACATTAACAATTGAACCAACTTAAGCCAATACTTCTCCTATTTTAGGATAAACTATATATAATTCATTTGAAATAGGATCCAGACGGAGAGTTATAGTAAAATATGTGTCAACTCCTAACATATTTTACCAGAGACTTAAAGATGAAGATGTTGTCAAAATTTAAGCATCTTAAACAAAGATTTCTTATTATATGGAATCTAATAAAATTCCATTATCAATATAAGCTTAAGTTTACTTTAAAGATATTTAACTTTATGTCGCAATTACTTAATCTAAAGAAAAGTAGTATGTCCTTTTGAATAATTCAAATTATTAAGTTTAAGAATTAAACTATTTAAAATTCAATTAAAATTCAAAGTAATTTACTGCAGAAGTAAAGAAATCATCAATTTCTTTATCACTTGCACAACTTTAATTACCAGATAAATATGAATGATCACATTTCACTAATACAATCATCAATTCTCTAGATTAGGACAATCTTATCTAATTTAAACCAAACTTTTTAGTCCCATATTTTGAGATTATTTCATCTTAATTTAGAAAAGAAATATTTTCAGATTCATTATCACTATCAAAATAAATACCTATTGGAGTAATTATATTATTGTATTAATTAAAGGGATCAACTTATTCATTCTAGTACTTCCAATAAGAAAATTCAAACAGTGATTCGTCTTCAAAATATAATAATTCTTAAGTTGAATCAGCTTTCATTGTATTAGTCAATTTTGGAAGTAAATTAAATTATATCCACTAATTTATAATGTATGCTAAATAACCAAAACTAGCTATCAAAATAAAAAGAGATGTAATTCCTCCTATAACAGATTTTTAGCTTTTTACATGTAAATTGATTTATTATCTAAATTCTACTCCGAATATATCAATAAATGATAAATAATTCATAAAATATATAATAATCAATATTTTTTAATCTCATAAATATTTAATTATGTATTAATTAGTAATGACAATTAAAAATAAAGCAAAATATTTGATAAATATTAATAATTCATAATAAATATCTAATAATAAAATTAAATTTTAATAGTTAATATAATTTATTATGTGATATATTCATTTCTAAAGTAAAAAAAGAAATTTTATAATGAAATATCAAAGTAATTATTTATATGAATATTTATAATTCTTTAAAATCATTCATTTCTGAGTTCATTTAGTATTTGCTTATTGATTTTATTTTATTTCCTAAATAAAATTTATAACATAATATCTTACTTTCCTTCAAAAAATTCAATTTTCAGTATAAATTCACTAATTTTTATTTCTGCATTGTTTTTTAAAATAATTAGATCTGATTCTTATTTCTTTTGTGATTATTCTAAAGTTGATAATGAAACCCAAGTGCCATTTGCAGAATCTCTTTCTTTAGATCCATCAAAGATTACCCATGATTTTAGACTTAAAATAATTTGAAATTATACTTTTTTGAGTATTTAAATCTGCTCTATTTCCTTGATATTGTATTTGAATTGATTTTAACATGATTTTCTTATCCTCTTCCTATTTAACATTCAATAGAATCCTAATTTTTAGAATGAATAAATATATTAAATATTTTTCCAGCCTCTAAACCAGATCCACCAAATCTAATAGAAACAATAGGGGCTTTATATTATTTCAATTTATTATAAATTTCTTTATAATATTCTGCATAATTTTTAGTTTCTTCATTATCATCCTCTTATAATTGTATATTTTAAAATCTTTAAAATAACTATTAGTCACTAAAATGAATTTCATGTTTAAATTGCTTTAATATAGTGATTTTTCTTAATAATCTAAAGAATTAATCATCTATTTCAAATCCTTACTCTTTATAAGATTCACATAATAAGACAGTAAAATTTGTATCACTACCAATACTATATTTTTGATCATATTTCATAATATTAGGTTCATTCTTTTAAATTTTCAAATGAGTTCCACATAAACTACCTAAATCTTAAACATAAGCATATCTTGGACAACTAAATTATAAAAATAATTGAGTACTCTAAAAATTAAGAAATTAATTTTATTGCTCTTTAAGGTAATAGAAAATTGAATGAAGTTCTAATGTTTTATATTGCTAATTTATATATGAGTTTAATCTTTTAATCTTATCTAAAATAATGTTTGCAGACTAATTTGCAATGAATTCTTGATATAATTCTATCTTCTGGAAGCACTTAAATAAATTTAAAGAGTTATTACTTATATCATTTGGTATAACTTCTGTTCTATGAGATCTTCCTATAAGGATATCTTCAGAATCAGCATTTTTATGAGAACCAATGAGACTAAAATTCCTTGTAAAATTTACCCATGTTAATTTATGAAGTATTCATTTGAATGATTAGTATTTGGATAATTAGTATTTCTCATCACAGTAACTTTTATATAGGGTTCATTTTTGTTTAACTCTTCATTATGTATTGGAATGGCTCTCTTTTACATATACTTATCAAGGTTGGAATTCTTGTATCTGAATTAATTGAATTTAAACCTAGGAGATGAGGGTTCTCTTCGACTTTGATTTTATAAATAAAGCATAATTTCTTCATCTTAATTGAATGATCTTGAAGTAAATGCATTCATTCTAAAAAAACTTTATTATTATTCTCCATTAGAATAAAAATTTAGAAATTAATTAAATTGTTATGAGGATCTAATATCTAAAAATTATTATAGATCTAATAATGGATTATTAAATGGGGAAAGTAAATTATTATTTTAGTTATTGTTGTTATTGTTGTTTTGATTATTATCATTATTATCATTATTATTATCATTATTCATTATAAAAATTAATGAAATATATTAATAATTTATTTAATTTAATGGGTAATTTGTGTAAAAAAGAACAAAATCCAAATAGTTCTTATAGATCCTCTATTTACTACGAACCAAGAAAAGGAATCTGTATAAAAGAGACATTGATTGAACGATATTTGTTTGATCGACGCTAAAGTCTTTTAGTGCCAAGTTTGAGTAGATTAATAATCAAAGAAGAACTTGGTTAAGAGACTGGTACACCTAAGCCAGATGAAAGTTTTATAAAAGGTAGTCATTTTACATCTTGTACTTCAAATTTAAGAGAAAGTTCTATAACAAATAACACAATCTAATTGTTAAATGTAAATTCTCAAAGATATCTCCACTCTCATAGAATTCGATATCCTAATTCTCGATTGAATGAAGTCATATGTTGTTAAGATTGTGGTAATGATTATGATAATTGGTCAGTCGAAAATGTTGATGAATCTTTAGTTAAAGTACTCATTTAGCTTTTAAAATGATAGTTATATCATCCTCTTACTAAATGCTACTTGAAAACTCAATAAAAGAGTAGTAATGGTTAAATCGATGTCGGAGGTGGTGAAAATGGTGATATTTGGTAAATTGAAAAAATCAATAACAATATAAGTAAATTCTATAATTATGACTTAGAAATACGACACTTAGACACTGGATATTATTTATAAACTAATCTCTACGAATGCAAGCCTGAAGGTTAATTCATAGTTTCATTACTCAATATTGATTCTGGTAAACCTGATGATACTTGTACTCTTTGGAAAGTAATTGAAATTCAATGATAATTTTTTATTTTATATCAAAAAAAAGTTGATTTTCAACTTCTTCTCATTCTTCTATCTCTTTTTGATGGATCCTATCCGTTTCCAACACAATTTTAATCTTAATATGTATAAATGTTTGGGTATGGTTATTTATCTTCAGCTTTTCTATTCTCTTCTGTCAAATGATCAGCAAATTTCTAAGAGATATAATAGTTCTAATTACTGATAAATGTTTTCTTGCTTAATTAGCAGATGTTTCTTCTTTTTTTTATCCACCCAAATCAGTGTTAGGTAAACATGATTCACCTTAAAGTTATATAAATTAATACCTGGTTTCATAGATAAATTATGACCTAATTAATGTTTGGTATGTCTTAAATGTTGATGTCTTGCTTGAATAACAAAAGCAACTAATAATATGAAAATTATTTGTTTAATCATTAATATATATATATTATTATTCTTCATCAATTTAAAATGCAACTCTCATATGTTGGTATCATATATTTTATATTTATATAAGCATCCTATTAAATTATCCATCAATATCTTACTTCTCCTCCTGTTTATTCAAATAGTTCAAGTGTTTCTTATATCAAATCTCCAATAATAACTCTTTTTCTTTGATTATATTCAATTTTATCACCTAAATTTAAATTATTATTTTTATATAAGTTCATTATTGGTAGAAGTTATCTATAATAAGGAACTAATAAATTAATATAAATAATTTACCTAATGCTTCACCTACCATCTCTCCACTTAATACAAGTTTTTATAAAACCTTTAATTACACTTCCATAATACTTGGATCTCTTGTATTTAAATTAGCTATCAATAATAAACAAATGCAATTACTTTTAATTGGAATAATTAATTATGGAATTACAGGTAATATTTTATTACCTCCACTCTCCAATAAACCATAAGTTCCCAAAATAGCTAAAAATCTATAAGGATCCATTTTTTCCTTTAGTTTTTAATAAATTTATCATACTCTTAATCCATCAAAAAATATTGGCAAATAATGATGATAATCTAATTATTCTGGTGATATTTTCCATATAATTCTATTAACACTTCCTTAATGATCAACCTATCAATATAGCTTTATTCAAATTACTTTTATTGGTAAATCTCCTCTATCATAATATCTCCTGAAATCTGAAACTGTAATTACTCTTTAATCATAAGCTCCTGCTTTTGGTGGTGCTGGTTTATACTCATCCTTCTTTTATAATTATGAACTTGATCTTCCACCTGTTCCCTGATGAGTCCCTTAATATTTATCTATAAATGCTTAAAAACAATTCATACTAGTAATTAATGCATTTTGAGAAGTTTCATGAACAGGTTCAAATACTTTTTGTTAATTAGCTTTCTCCTTTGGGATATATTCTTTTGGAAAATCACCAAATGGAGAATGAGGATTCTTTGGAGCATAGGGTGTCTTCCATGCTTTGTAATTCTAAAAGTCATTAAATACTAAAATACTTGATTTTCTTGTTTTTTTAGTATATTTTTTAAATGATCTTCAACTATCTGTTAAGATGCCAAATTCTCTTTTCTTCCAACAGATTATCCTTGAATTTTGGGTAGCATTTAATTATTTAATTTTTATTTATGCAATAATTCTAAACCTCAATCCTTGATAAAGACATACTTTTTTATGTAGAAAAAAACATTAGAGTTAATCTTTTAAGTTTAGGTTTACTAAAAAATCCTAATGTATATAAATACAAACTATAGTAAATTTAAAATATTATTATTGAGAATTCAAAAAGACTATTAGCTTATTAATATTGGAATCTATATAATATAGATATAATGTATTAATATACATTCTTTGATGATATTTCTAAATGATCGACTCTGATAAAATAAATAATAAAATATTTCTCTATTAAAAAGATTCCTTTTAAGAATAACTTTTATGATGAAAAAATTCTCATAATATATTCAGAAACATAAATTTTTTAGTCAGTTCAACTGATAATTCCTATTTATATCTATTATTGAATTTCTTTCTTGTGTATAAATTAGATTATAAAAAAACTAAATTATTCTTTTTCTTATTAAAATTACATAAATAATTATGTTCAAAGTCAAGATTCTCCAATTATTTGATTCCTTTGTGTTAAATAATCTCGGCCCATACTAGAGGAGAATTGGAAAAAGTTTCCTCTCCTAAGGAAATGATATGCTTGGAAGCGAAGCTAGCGATGATCGTTTAGTATAGTGTTTGAGATAAGTACAATCTAATGGTCAAACTCCCTAAATTAGTGAAGCATTATTTACTGCCCCTAATTCAGTTTTAATTGGAAATGTTATCCTTAAATAGAAGTACTCTAAGAAATGTTCATCATTAGTTCCTCTGTCTGGTATGGTGCTACTTTACGTGCTGATTAAAATGCTATAACAGTAGGCAAGAATGCTTTAATATAAGATAATGTCTATGTAAAAGCAACATAACCAGTGACTTTAGGAAATAATTCTTATGTAGGACCAAATTCAAATTTATAAGGATGTTTAATTGGTGATGATGCATTTATTGGAATGGGATCTACAATTAAATAAGGTGCTTCTGTTTAAGGAATTGTTGCAGCTGGATCTCTTGTACCAGAGGGCACTCAAATTAAACAAGGAGAAGTTTGGGCTGGATCTCCTGCCAAATATTTAAGAGATATCACACCTCAAGAATTACAAATCCTTAGAGAATATAAATAAGAATTAATGGAATTAGCATAAGTTCATGGTGAAGAAACATCAAAGAGTTTCAGATAAGTAATTTTTATATTCATTTTAGATTGTAATTGATACAGATGAGAGATTATTAAAATAATAAAGGGGAAATGAAGAAGAAGCTCTGTAGAAAATTGCTGAATTGAATTTCCCTTTAGAATATGAGGATGAAGAATTTATTGAATAGAGAGTTTTTATGAAATAATAACCTCCTATGTTCATGGATTCTGAAAATCTTTTTAGTCAACAAGATTAATATGAATAAGATCTAAATTAATTTTCTGAAAGTATTCATAAATCCGAATCTCCTAGATATATAAAAATATGGTGAAGATTATTAAATTTATGAAGAGGCTAAAAAGTACTTTGAATAAAACCCATAAGCTAAAGCTAATCAATTCCAATAAAAATCTGAAATTCCTGATGATTAACCATGGAGTAGAAAATATTGATTTATTAGACATCAAATAAAAAATTGATCAAAACCGATTATCTTATCATATATTCTATTTTGTTTTAAGCAATACTAAAATTATATTTAATAATAATTAAAATTAATATATCCAGATGATCCTAAAATTATTATTATTAATGGATAAAAATATTTAAATTAATTTAATAATCCTAGATTGATCAATTAATTAATAATTTTATTTTGAAAGTATAATCAACCGATAATATAATAATTTTATATCTATTACGAATACAATAAAATAGAACATAAGTACTTTAGATATTCATATTAAAATAAAAACCTAAAAATATTCAAAACATATTAAAAAAATAAATAAATTCTATTAATGGAATTTTTTTGAAAACATTGTTAAATCAATACATCATTTATAATTGTGAGGTGTAGCCATAAAATTAACTAAACCAGTTTCCTGATCTTTTTTATACTTTCTGAATGCACTAGGACTATATCCACCAATACCAAATTTACTAGTTGGTGATTTATAATCCTTTTAAACCTCAAAAGCATCTCCTATATTTATTTCTAAATCTGAATCTTAAGTAGCTAATTAATTAAATATATATTTATCAGCATTGGCATCTAAATATAATTTTTTTAATTTACTAATTTTTTATTGTAATTGATAAGCTATGGTATCAAGTGTTTTCTCTTTGCATTAAGTATAAGGTTTGGTAATAACAATTGGTACAAAATTTTATTTACTTACTGGATTATCATCTTACAAACCTTATTCTTCTTAATATTGAATTATAGGTTTCTAAAAGAATATCTGTCTTGGTGTCAATACAGAGAAAGCTGGAGTCATTTAATGATTATTAGGACTATTGGTTCCTTAATAATCAAAAATGTATTGTTAATGATAATTGTTAGATGATTATTACTATAAAATAATTAAAAAAGGAATTTACTTCTTCATTATCCTGTTGGATTTCGAATTCATCTCGAATGATATTGAATAGTGGACCTTTTTTAGTTCTTATACATATATCTATATAATCTTCTTTATCAATATGCTTTAATATAATGAAAATTCTACCACTTTCTTTTTTGCATTTAGTCTAGAAGATCTCTTAAGAGGAACATAGTTACTTATTTCTTCGTATTTATAATCACTAGTATAATCATCATCATCTTCATCATCATCAATTCTGCTTTTTCTCTTTTTATGGTTTTTCTTCTTTAATTTTAATCTACTTTCTCTTTATTTTGTATACAGAGTACTTATATTAAATGATAAAAAATACTTAAATTCCATAATTTTATCTATAAGTTATTTGAACTTGTCTTCATTGAATTGATTTATTTGAGATTTCTATTTGGATTAAGCAAATTCTAAGATGGAGTCTTATAATCCTTTACAAGCTTAACATAACTTTTTCATATGGTCATCTTTTAATTCAGTTGGATTCTTTTCTGCAAGTATAAAAATCTTAGACAAGACTCCTGGTTTAATATCCTTGATCTGTTGGGTACCCTTTTCTTTGCTAAATATATAATCATGCGAATTACTGTTCTTGTCTCCAATAAGTTTATTGATTCTTCTTAGACTTCTTCTTAAAGTAGAATAGAAATGATTTTTTATTGCATTATCTGTTCGTCCAGGTAACAGTTTTGCAATTTCTGCCTAAAAATTAATTCAACATTTTCTAATACCCACTTATTGCCATGTTCTTTATGTGCAACAAAGATCACTTTTTCTTCATTTTCACTCCAAGGCTCTTTATTGATAGTTGGATCAAGATGATTATGATAACGTTCTCTACATTATTTTCCAGACCTTCCAAATAGTCCATAAACTTCTTTCATCTTTTCAGCCACAATTGTCCACTTCTTTATTCCATACTGTTTTACTAATTATAGAATCACCATGTCTTCCTATAATAAATCAATCTTAAGTTATATACTTTTTAATTCCAAGCCTTTCTATCAGTCATATTTAAATAATTAATTAATTAACTTTATCCATTATTTCACTTAAAAATCTAAAAGAATATCCAAGAACTATCGGTATTTGATACTCTCAAATTAACTTTGATTTTATTATTGAGAATAATTAATCTATATTCTCTTTTAATAAATATATCAATATTGTTGAAATCAATTACATAAAAAATTATGAAAAACCTAAAAGATATGTTTTAAATATAATGAATCATATATACATAATTATTTATATATTAAAAGAAAATAAAATCAACAATTACTTAGTACTAGGACTCATTAAGTTTTAAAATTTGATATATGGAGAGTAAACATGATTATTTTAATTTTAGGCTGCATCAAAAAAACTTTAGAATAATTCCAATTATATAAAGTTATATTAAGATAGAAAAATCTAAATTAGAATTAGTTTTAAATGCAATTTAATCTATTAAAACTTTTAATCTAAAAAATTCAAATCCAGCTGGCTACATTATAAAAAGAGTTCAAATAATTCAAAAAAAAACAATTAAGAACAGTGTTTTGAATTGTATCCTACAAATAACTATTTTCATGTTCGAAAATCATAAAATTAATTAAATTTCTTTGACCTTTCAAACATCCACAATAATTCTGATTGATCAGAAGAGAATCTTCCTCTTTTTTAAATTTGATTATTCATTTATTTAATTTACTATCATTTTAATAATTTAAACTATTTAAATAGCCTAAATCAATAAAGTATATAATAATTATTTTTTTATTTAAAATTTCTTTCAAATTAGTTGATGAATAAATAATATAAACACTTCAATCATTATCTAGTTTACCTATTATTCCATTTAATGGCTTTATGTCAATTTCTGAATTGTCATCACTCATTGAACTCACATTACCTGAAGATGATGAACTTGTATCTTATTACTTAAAAATGACAATAGAAAGTCCTCCTTATTTCTTCTAAAATTCATTTTTTTATAAAATAGAATGTTAAGTTCCTTCTTTTCCTTCATATATTGCAGGTAATTATTATGTTGTAGTATTTCTGCTTGTTGGATATGCAAAATGTTTCATTGTTGGTTTTCCTTATCTTCCAGGAGACATAGTATCTGAAATTGAATCTTCCTTTTTTATTTATTAAATAAATGCCATATCACCAACACTTCCAGCATGTTTTAATTTACTAATTCTTACAGGACTTGGAGATGTACTATTTTTATTTTTAGGTTTTAGTAAATGAATCCAATCAAATTATAATTATAGGTCATTTTGGCCTAATAATTAAAAAAATGGTTGTTTCAATATATCATAATTTGGAAATTCATGAGGTGATAGTAATCTAATTGCATGGTACAATTATAGAAATTATTCAGGAAACCCTTTTAGTTCTCTTTCAGGTACAAATCTTTATTTAATCTCATAATAATATTTAAGTTTTTCTGAACGTTTCACATTAGGTTAAGAAGGTAAAAATTTTCCTAATGTGATGATGTGTAATAAAATATAGAACAAAGATTCTAGATCATCTCTTGGACAAGGAACTTTATATTCTGATATTAAAGTACATTATTATAAATGCGTGCCTATAGATGAGAATTTATTTATATACAAGTTGAGTTTATTTTTTTTTTTGATTAAAATCTTCCCATTTTTATCCATATATTTTGATGAATATTCAAAGTGAGTGAAATATATTTCAGAAGAGAGAGTAGTAATTAGATTTGATAATTTTAAGCATCGATGAATTATATTTAAAGAATGTAATTTTGAGAGATGAGTGATCTAAACTTAGTAAATACAGAATTACCATTTTTAATGCAATCAAAGCAATTGTCTATATTGAAAACTTACGTTTCATTAATAAAAAACACAATTTCAATGAGGGTCCTGCCTTCTATTGTACAATATAATGATAAGATGTTTCTCCTACTTTGAGAATTCCAAATTGATGAATGTTAGGAGTAATACCATCTTATTTAGAGTATGAATTATACTGTCGCTAGTCTTTTTATATAATCTGCAATAGCATTATGACTGATTAGTAACCTATTTTAATGTGTTCCAAACTATACTATTTATACTAGTATGTCAGCATTTTTTTGATCATCTTTGACTAATACTGCATTATAGTAAACAGAGTTTCTACCAGTATAATAAATAGATGTCAACAGATATTAATCATCAATGATTACAGGTTTATCATTTTTAAACATTTAGATTTTTAATTAATCTAAATTAATTAACTATAATTTAAAATTAGACATATGATATATATCTTAATATACTTTTAATAGGAGGATGATTGAATTATTGTAAAGATATTTATGGTATCTATTACTATTTAAAAGAAAAGAGAATATTAATGAATTATGATAAACTTTAAATATTTAGGTTTCAGTAAGTTATTTAATTTTAGTTTAGAACAAGAATTTAATAAAGTATGATATTAGACTCCTTATTATGATTATAGATGTGGCAACATTGTTTCTATTTATAATTTTGATAAAAATTTGGGTAAGATTTGTATGAATTTTAGAGAAACTCTTGAATGAGATAAAAAGTATAATTTCATAAAATGTATTATTTTACTATTTATAAAGCATATAATATATTTAGATATTATTTATGAAGTAGAATAATAAAAATAAGCTTTATGATTTCATAAAAATATATAGAGTTTATTATTCTAATAAAAATAAATTATGAATATGAAATTGAATATAATTATTGTATATATATCCTAAAATGTAATTGAAAGTAATGAATGAACATTTTTACAAAAAACATTTAATCTTGTAAATTGAAAAGACCTCATTTTAATTTTAAATACTTTATAAATAGTTAATTTAATAATGTTATAAAATACAGCTTATTCAATTGGATGGCTTGGATCATAACCAATCATTTCAATTTCATTATTGCGATATCTAGTTAAAACAGATGTTGCTGCTCTTTATGCTTCTTAGTTTTTCCTGAGACTCTGGTGTATTGTTGCTTTCATAATAGCTTTTATTTAGTAAAATACTTAGTATTAATTATCATTAGCAAAATTGTGAGTCTTCAACATCCAACAAAGAATTCACCTCATGAATTAGCTTAACCATTTCGGTTTTCATTTTCTCTTGTTTTCACTTGTGCAATATTTGAATTTATTTAATTAGCATTAACAATTCACGCAGTAACAATCGTATAAAATATCAGTTAGCCTATTACAGCATTGTTCATTATTTAGCACTTTATTAATTATTTAGAGCTTTCTTTAGAAGTTGGATCAACAATGTAACTCCAAATACAATATTTTGTTCATTTTTATTAATGGGATTAGTCTATTTATTAGAAGATTGGTTAGTACTCATTCCTGGTACTGCTTTTTAAAACAAATATCTATCTATTAAAAAATCATTTGATTGGTAACCTCTTATAATGGTTATTGGTGCTGCAGCTTCTCATACTCTTGGAATTTGGATGTTTAAAGTTTTATCTATGAAAATGCATTAAACATAAAAAGCTTTTATTGATAGAGTTTCTTGGTCTAATTATATAGCAGATGAACCTGATAAAATTACTTATAGCTTATGTGTAGTCAATAGTTTATTTTGCAAATATTTAGAATGTTAATTAAGAATTCATTGTGAAACTAATTCTATGTAAATAGATGGACTTTCTTAAAAGGAACTAAGAGCATTAATAAAGGATTATTTTGATAATCATTTAACTTACAGTTTTTAATATATGGAGTAATTCAAAATATTTAATTTCAACAAAGAAGGTAATTTTGATACAATATCTGATAAGCCATTGATGATCCTGCCATATATAAAGAAGAAGACACTTTACTTAGAAGATTAATTAAGGAGAAGATATATGAAATATAACTTTAACATCAATAATATAAAGAATTATTTGGATCAGATAAATACCTCAATCTATAATTTGAAATTCTATTTGAAGATTATGGTATTCATGAATATATATGGGATGATGAAACTCCTTATATTTAATTGATAATTTCATTTTTTGAAGGAATCTTTTGTTTTTGTGCAGCTTTCTTAAATCATGAATATAATGATTTATTTTCTAATGGATATGATGTAAATATGTCTCATATTTAATATTATGTATGGATAACTATATTTTTGGGAGTTTTTCAATTGATAAAAATATTGTAATATTTAAAAAAATTAATATAATAGTTCATTTAAATTAATGTTCTTATGGAATGTTTAAACTTATTTTTTTAGTGGAATTTTCACTGAATTAATAGTTGTGTATATTACAATGCTTTGGATTGAACCAGTTGGATATCTATAAATGTTAGGCTTAATATTATCCTATTGTATAATGTGTGTGTTGTATAGATCTGCTGAAAAAGTGAGAGATCAAAGTAAACTACTTTTATACTTTCATTAGAAAATAAATTATTCTATCTGAGTTTTATTACTTTCTTAATAAGAGTACAAAAATTTACAATCAGAGAAGGATCTTAAATAATTCAAATGATGTCACTCTGTGCAGAAAGATTAAGTCTCAATGAATTTTTAAAAGTTTTGGCTTAAATTCTTTGTACTCATGGAATAGTTAGTTATGATTAATTAAGATAAATTAAATTTAGTCATTTTGGATAGAGTCCTTTTTTTTAATTTTAGATTCCATTTATTTTTTAATCTTAACTTAGATATGAAAATAATATTGAAGATCCCTATCTTCCTGAATTTGATGATGAATAACCACTTAGAGAAGAAGATAGACAAACTAAATTTGAAAGGTAATTATAAATTATATTATAAAGATATGTTATTGATAGTAAATATGAAAATGAAAAATAATAAATGAAAGATGAAGTCAAATAGACAGTAATGGAAATTAGAAAATTGAATAAATCAAAGATAATCTAAAGCAATATCTAATAATCAAGAATTGTTTAAAATGATGAACATCAAGAATGAATTTCATGAAATAAAATTGATAATTCTAATGAATATTTTCATTAATCTATGTATATTTGTCCATTACCAAATGATTATTAAATTGCACCTTCAATAAATAAGAATTCAATAGGTCTACTTCTCATACATTTATTAGTAACTGTATATGCAGTTGTTCCATTTTCTTAAATTAAACTCAATGATCCTTTTTCAGGTAAATGAATAGATAAAACTTCAAAAGGTAATCCAAAGAAAGTTACATTATCTCCTGGACATGATTTTGCATGTTCACCCTTAAAATTGCATTCACTAAAAACATAAATACAACCATCTTAAAATGTAGTTACTTTTTCATTGCTATATACTTTCTTTTATGTTACACTATTCTCAAAAAGATGATAATCTGGTTTTTCTGTAGCTCTTACTGCATTTGGATTTGGTTAATCAATAATGTACATTGATTCAATAAATTTAATAGTATGCTCTTCTGTTTCAGAAGGTGTTAATTTAAGAGCTTCTTCATAATTCAATAGAGATGATAATTATTCTTTTATTAAGTCATCTGAACTTCTTCCTAAAAATGTAGGTAATCCTTTTTTTTTAATTGTATATATTTCTGTTGATAAATCCTTTTGTTATTTCACATGCTTTTATTTCTCAAGAAAACTATCTTGAGATGTCACCATAACAGACAACAGTACTAATATGTATATTTTTTACATATTAATAAAAACGGATTTATAATATATATTATATATGTCTTCTTAGTTGAATTGTTTACTATACTCTTTTATATTATTACTCTATATGTATCTTTATGAAAAATAATATATATATAAATTAAGGATGCTAAAATTTGTTTTGGGCATAGAATATTTTTCCAATTATTCTATTCTAAATGTATAGATGATGAAAATAACAAATTTATTTTATTTTCTACAATGTCTACTAGAAATCCATATAATGAAGAAATATAGAGAAAATTAATTGAAATAGTAGATACATATGGAGGAAAAAAGTGTAAAAGTTGGACTTAAGTTGCTCGTATTTTTGAATTATAGACAGGAATCAAAGTCTAAAAAACTTTTGATTTAAAAAAAAAGTTATTAAATTTTGTTATCATAGATGGGAAATGTTTACTAATTATAAGGAAGATTTAACAAAGATTGAACTAAAAACCTTGTATGCAACTGGAGTTAGATGTAGAGGACATCACAAAGCAGGAAATGAAGAGTTCTTTAAATAGACTGGTAAAAAGTAAATATTTATTAATTTATTTAGATTGTATGTAAATCAATATAGAAAATTGGTTGGTAATTTCTTATTATCAGCTATTAAATTATTAAGTTAATCTTATGTTAATCCAAAAAAAGTTAAATGTAAATAATAAGGATAAGAAAGATTTCATAACAGAATAGGTTATGTCTCTATTCATATTCTATTAAGAGCTGTAGAAATTAATAAGTATTTGGATGACTATATGGTTTAAGAATTGAAACATTCAGCTGAAAAGTTTGAATAATTATTATTAATACATGCTGAACATCATGAAGATGAGAGAATTGCTAGATTTTCATATTATCATAAAGTAATTAACAGAAGAGAATTTAAAAAGATTTAATTTTTTCTTGATTATGTTAATGAATTAAAATAAATTAGCATCAATTTATATACAGAATAAATAGGTAGACATCCATTATTGTTTCCTTAAATTGATCAAAATAAATCATCAAAGATCTATGAATTATTGATTTGGGGAAATGATTGGTAATCAAAATACAACTTATTTTAAGAGTGTGCAGCCAAATCTGATTGGGAAGAATATTCAATGTTAATTAAAAAAACAAAAAAAAATGAAGAAAATAAATAGATCAAAAATAAATAATAATAATAATAATAATCTTCTGAAATTATTAATGCAGAAACTATAGAACCTGAAACTAAAAAATTAAAATTAAATTCATATGATTTAATATCTACAGCTACACATAAGGTTTGTAATAATGCATCAAAATAACAAATTAAATAATTAGATAAATAAGAATTGAAATCATTTAGAGGTCATTATTATAGAGATGGATAAATTAGAACAAAAGGATTAACTACAATCTTATTTGATACAGATATGAGATCAGATGAAGATGATCAGGATCAATATTAAAATATAGAAGAACATAGAAAAGAGTTTTTTGATAAAATGGAAGAAATATATGATTGTGTCTTTGGAGGAAAGGCTAGTTTAGTCTCATTTGAAAAGAGCTTACAACTTCCTAATTGAATTTCTACCATTTTCATTAATTTCATAACATTATTTTTTTTAAAGCAAAACTTATTTTCAAGGTTTTTTTGATATAAATTCTATTCATTATAATCGTATGATTAATTCATATATAGAGTTAACATTAAATCTTAAATTTATGAATATTAGAATCCTATGTTATAGATTAAAAATCTTTAAAAAAACGACATTATAGTAGATTACAAGGCAAAGTGACATCTTATCAATAAGAATGTATATTTATATGTGAGTATTATGGAATGAAACAAAATAATTTTGTAATCTTGAAATAAAATTATTTTTCGGAAAATAGTAAATTCTTCAATCTTTTTAAAGAAAAATATTTTTATATTAGATTATATAATGTGTAATGTAATTTATTAGAAATGATATTAAATTCAATAAAAAAATCATACGTCATGATTAATATTTCATCATATATATATGTCACATAAATTTATATCATAAGATATATTAAAAATAGTGAAAGACAATGGCTGATTAACTTAAGCAAAGACCAGAAGGAGGAAAATTCTATGGATTTGATCATATTCATTTTTGGGTTGGAAATGCTCTCTAAGCAGCATCTTTTTATGTGTCTCGTTTTGGATTTCAATATTATGCTTATAGGTATATTGATATATTTAATTGAATAGAGGACTAGAAACAGGAATAAGAGATGTAGTAACACATGTTCTAAGAAATGGGGAAGGAGTGTTCTTTGCTTTTTCAAGTCCTTATGGTCCAGAGAATGTAATAATGAACACTCATCAATCTAAACATGGTGATGGTGTTAGAGATGTTGCTTTTAGAGTTGAAGATGCAAGAGCTCTTTATGATAAAGCAATTGCTAAAGGAGCTAAATCAATTAGACCACCAACAGAGGATAAAGATGAACATGGAAGTGTTATTTTGGCATCCATTTAAACCTATGGTGATACTATTCACACTTTTGTTCAAAGAAATGATTACAAGGGTTTCTTTTTACCTGGATTTACAAAACATCCAAAGGTTGATCCTATTAATACAATTCTACCCCCAGTTGACTTTTTAGTGGTAGATCATGTTGTTGGTAATCAACCTGAACATGAGATGGTTCCTGTTGCTGAATGGTATGAAAAAACATTGGATTTCCACAGATTTTGGTCAGTTGATGATTCTATTCTTCACACTGATTATTCATCACTTTAATCAATTGTAGTTGCAGATTATGATGAAGTGATTAAGATGCCAATTAATGAACCTGCTCATGGAAAAAAAGTATCTTAGATTTAAGAATATGTTGACTATTACAGTGGACCTGGAGTAATTATTTTTTTAATATTTAAGGTTTAACATATTGCATTGAAAACAGATAACATTTTAAAAGAAGTAGAAGCAATGAGAGCTAGAGGACTTGATTTCCTTTCTATTCCGGATACTTATTATGATAATTTAAGAAAGAATATCCCTCATATGAATTTCAAGATAGCTGAAGATATTGATTTAATTCAGAAGAATAAGATTTTGGTTGATTATGATGACAAAGGTATTTTTATTCTTTATATTTTTAGGATATCTTTTATAAATATTTACTAAACCTTTAGAAGATAGACCAACTTTATTTATAGAAATTATCTAAAGAAGAAATCATTCAGGATTTGGAGCAGGTAATTTCAAATCCCTTTTCTAATCTATTGAACTAGAATAAGCCATTAGAGGAAATTTAACAGACAACCCTAAATATAAAGCTCCATATTGAAAATTTACAAAAATTATATGTAAATTTATTGTAAATATATCTTTATAATTATAATTAAATTGCCTTTAAATTGCAATACTATCTCAATTAAGATCTGAGAACTCTTCAATAGTTCTTTTATTTTTTTTTTATTAAATAAATGGTCTTTCAATCATCTATTATTCTAAGGAACTTTCAGGCTCTTATTAATTAGAAATTTTTTTAACAGGAGGAGGACCAAATCCAATAATTGGCATATTTATTGGTCGTCCTTAAAAGTTATTACCTATTTGTTATTATTTATTTGAAGACTATTTATATCCTGTGATTGAATCTTCTTAAACGAGAGGGGATTATTTTGCAAAAGCATTTTTAATTTCTTAAAAATTAGATCTTTAATTTTAATCCTCAGAGACAACATTCTTTTTTTGTTCATTCTATTATTGAAATTTATTCTAAATGGTTTATTATTATTTTTATTCCTCCCCAGGCATTTTATTTTGAACACTTGGTTTACTAAAAGCTACTTGATTTTATGACTATTTATCATTCTTCAAAAAAGGATTATTAGCAAGTTTAGTTTAAAATGGGGCAGTCTCTATTTAAACTTATTGTTTAGGTGGTTACTGAATTTAATTTATATCACCTTATTTAGAAGTATTAGATTGCTATTTTTCTAATTATATCTAATTTTTATTCTGCTCAGGTTATGAAGAAGATTCATTAGAAATTGTTTAACTTTCAATCTTTCTAATTGGGACATTTGATTAATCTGATTAATTTGTTGTTTAACTCACCTACATTTATGGTGGAATTTTTTCTTCCAATTTTTTCTACTAAACACTTGATCTAACAGCTCCTTAAAACTTCTCTTAAACTTGATTATTAGGTCCTGAAAATTTCTTCATTATGTCCGAAACTTTGTTTTAATTTGATACATTTGATGGAAGCTATTGAGAATTACCTATATATTTAATAGGATATTAAACAACTTTAATTGTGTTCTTTTTTCATAAATTAACAATTGCGACATTTTTGTTCTGGTCCCATTCTTGTATCAGTCATATCCATAACAAACTTATTGCATACTGATTGCATGATTTATTTATCAAATAATAAATTATTACACAACAATTATTTTGATAGAATTACTTTTCCAAGGTATCAAATAAAGATATTCTAATAATAAACATATTGATTTTAGTAAGATAATCATTTTCTAGATTATTTATAATTCATATAATAATTGTAATTATTATAGTTTGTTAGAGCAAATATAGATATATAGATAGAAATACTACCCTTTTAGATAATCTATTTATTAATTTGTATCATTCTTATAATTTAAACAAATAGTTTTAATCTTACAATAAACAATTTTTATTATACAAAAAATAAAATTAAAAATTATATTCTTTAATAAATAATATTAAATAATTATGTCAGAATAGGAATACTCACAATTTTTATTTGAAAAACATGATCAAAACAAATTCGATAAATATGAAGAATTAGTAGATTTTAAAGGATTTAAGCTTCCAAATGATAAGAATTAAACTAAATATTTATTAGATGAGGATGAAGGGTATATAAATAAATAAATGAATTTAGTTGGTGTGATTTAAATGGATGTTACTATAATTCTCTAGGCCAACCAAGTGGATGGATTATATTGTCAAAGGATGGTAAAAAATATATAAGATTTAATTAAAACAAGGAATTTATTGAAGAATAAGAAAATAAATATTATTAGAATGAATAATTTAATGCAAAACATTTAGTATAAAATTAATAAAAACACAAAAATTTAAAAGATGAAGAAGAATAATAATAAAAATAATAGTCTAAATAAGAAAATAGAAAATAATAAAATTAATCTAATTAATCTAATTAAAAAAATTAAGACCATTAAAGAAAATAAAAATACAATAAATAAAAAGATTAAGAACATGAAAAAGCTAAGATCTAAGATACTTCAGAAAAAGATTAAGAACAAGATTAAGAGGAGGATTTATATGTAGTAAAAATTGATTAATAATTACCAAAAGAAACAAAAAATACAAACGATAATCCAAAAACTAATGATTAAGAAGGACGATAAAGAAATCGAAGGGATAAAAAACAAAATGACAGAAATAGGAAAAAATAAAACAAGGATGATTAGAATGATGATAATTAGGAAAGTAAGAAATATTATATTTTAAATATATATGAAATTTCTTTGAGCAAAGAGGATTTTATAAAATATTTAATAGAAGAATGTAAAATTTAAGAAAAAAGTATTATAGAATACCATGAGAATATCTTAAAATTAGCATTAGAAAAAGATGCCATTAAATTATATAGATTGAATAGAAAATAATAAACAGATAAAGTTTAATAATTCATCGTCTCAACATGAAATTAAAAATCTATATCAAATATTATATTTAATTGATACCAACAATTTTGGATATGAAAATTTATGCAAATTCTATGAGTTCATTTTAAATGTCTATTTGAAGTATTTGTATTTCATAAAAACCCAATTGATGATCATATATTTAAATATTCATTATTTGATGTAATATACAATATAAAAATTATCATTTTTTTAAATAATAAGAATAATTAAATAAAAATGAAATCCATTTTAACATAAGCTTCGAAAATTCCAAAATATTATGCTGATTTTAATACTCATTAGCCTAAGCATTATTGGGATTATGAAAATTATAAGACTTAATTTGGGTATATATGAGGTTAATTCAGACATCAAGATGACTATGAAATATATGAAAAGATAGGTTAAGGAAGATATTCAGAAGTATTTAAAGGAGTTTCAATTAGAACTCATTAAAATGTCATTATCAAAGTTTTAAAGCCAAATGTACCAGAGAAAATAAATAGAGAAATATTGATTCTTAAAAATTTATAGAGTCATCCATTAATAACTGAATTAGTAGATGTTGTATAAGATTATAGCAGTTTAAGATAATCTCTAATTTTTAAACAAGAAAATTGTATTAATTTGAAAGATATTCGTTATTATGAATCATTAAAACCAATAAAATTTTTAATAAAAAGTGTTCTAGAAGCTTTAGATTATTGTCATTCAATAGGAATATTCCATCGGGATATTAAACCTCATAATATATTAACAAATACTTAATTTTCTTGTAAAAATCATAAATTAAAATTAGGTTTTAAATTATTGGATTGGGGATTGGCAGAATTTTATCATCCTAATAAAGAATATAATACAAGAGTTGCATCAAGATATTTTAAATCTCCAGAGATTTTACTTGATTTTAGATAATATCATCATTCAATAGATTCTTGGGGAGTTGGTTGTTTAATGGCTGGTATGATATTTTAAAAAGAACCATTTTTTGCAGGTATTAGCAATGATGATCAATTATTAAAGATTATTAATATATTAGGGTCTGATGTTTTATATACATATTTGAATAAATGGAAAATCAATATACCTACAAGGTATAAGAGTATCCCATATTCATCTTAAAAGAGATTTGAATTATTTATTACTAAAGAGAATGAAAACCTTTGTACACCTGAAGCAATTGATTTGTTGAAACAATTACTCATTTTTGATCATTCAGATAGAATATTGCCTAAAGATGCTCTATAGCATCCATTTTTTCAATGATTCCATAATTATTGTAGAGTAGACTTTAATTTATGTTATTTATTATAATCTGACTAAAATATATTGTAATGATTTAAACAATATTGACTAATTCTTCATTATGTTTCTATTATAAATTTAATGAAATAGTCAAAATAATCATAAAATTAGGCTCATGATGATTAATTCTCTGGCTCTAATACTCCTAATGTTCATGGCTTGTTTTTACCATAAACGATGACTATGGGTGTAAAATATTTATTAAATGAAAGTAAATGTCCGAAGACAGAAAGGGAGAAGATTAAAGACTAAAATTAATAAGGGCTTCTACTGATCCATATGAGGCATTTAAGGATGATGATTTTTTGTATCCAACTAAAGAAGATGAAATGTCTCTTTGGCAAAAATATTCTGGAGATTATATATAAGGAATGCCTGTATTACCAACAGGTAAATGTAGTTTATTTTGTAACATTGTTTGTTGTTTTTACTTTCTTATATTTGGCTTAGTTTTTGTTGGAATAGCTGGTAGTATCACAGAAGTAATAATAAATTATTATATACCTGCAGATTCGATTAAATTATGGAAAGGAATGTGAAGGTAAGTAGCAATGTATTGTTAATTTTGAAATTGAAAAAAATACTTATGGACCATTCTTTTTATACTATGAATTAAATGAGTTTTACACTAGTCATTCTGAGTAATATTAGAGTTTAATAGATTAGCTTTGCTTAATCAATTAGTCCAAAACAAATGAAAGGTTATGAATTGACAGATGAGGAGTATGATGTTTATTGTCCTGATACCTAATCCTTTGAATCACTTTAGAGACCTGTTGGATTCAATAAAAGCTATGCTGGTTTTATGATAGACTTGAATAAGAAAGTAAGTCCTTGCGGCATAGCTGCTAAATTCATTTTTAATGGTATATAAATTGCTTTTTAGATATAGATTCCTTCCTACTTTTTGATGTTAATACTGAAACTGCTACCTCTTTAGCTCTCAACTCAACAGGGATTGCATTTTCTGTTGATTTAGAATATAAATATTCAAGAACATAGAATTCTTAATTTAGATAATGGTTGGATCTTGATGATGGTAAAGAATTCTTTATTTTAATATAGAAAAAATAATAAATTGGTTTAATATTCAATCCTTACCATTGGTTAGAAAATTATATGCTAGATATGATAATGATTTATCAAAAGGAACCTATAGTATTGTAATTTAAAATAGTAATATTATAAAAAATTATTTTTTAGATTATCCAACTTCAATTTTTGGAGGAGAAAAGTTTCTTATAGTTACTACTTTGTCTTCGTTTGGTAGTAAGAATTTTTCTTTTGGTTATCTGCTTATTGCAACAGCAGGTGTCTAGTTTATATGTGCTTTCGTTGTTTATATTAAACATAGAATTGTAGAAAAAAGAGAAAAACATGAATAAAAAATTCATGCTGATTTAAAACTCAAAGAAAAATCCGATTGATAATTTATCTAAATATACATTATTTATTAAAATCAACTAATTTTTCCATTGTTGTAATTGATATCATTAGAAATTAATGTTTACAAGTAATTGTACTATATTTTAATATTTTTTTAAATAACTAAATAATTGTTATATATTATGAACTTGGAGAAATTGAATTAAAAATTTATTAAACAAAAATAGTACCAATTAAAATCATTTAAGATATCTTCTGAAATTTATTAACTTTTTAATTATTTTTAAATTTAAATTATAAATATTGTTCAAATATTAAAAATCAAATGCTTATAAAAATAAAAATATCAATAATAAAAAAGATTAAGTTGATAGTTAATAGTAAAATGAAAAATTATCAATAGAATTCAGTTTAATTGATTAGATATAAATTAATAAATTATTAGAATTATTAATTTAATGTTTTCTCCGCCAAAAGTACATCCATTTGAAGAAAATTATATTTAGAAAGTGCTAATGGATATTGAACGTAGCCCATTATTACAATATGAAACACCTTAGGATCTTTAATTATTGTATTTGATTTTGACATATTATTTAGTAAATCTCAAAGTTTATTATGTGATGATGATCAGTAATCACCATTTCAAGCAGCTCGAAATCTACCACTTTAAAGATTCAATTCTGAAGTATTCCATGATTTTTCTGGATGTCAATAATAAATAATAGGAGATAATAATAAATTTTTGAAATAAAGAAAATTTAGAGCTGATTTATCTAAATTCTCTGGAGATTTTGAGGTTATACATTAGATTGGAAGAGGTTCAAAAGGAGTAGTATATAAAGTATTATCAAAAGTTGATGGGTTATATTATGCAGCAAAGAAAGTGCCTTTGGAGGATAATATTCAAACTTTGACATTAGATGGTCAAGTGTAATTTAATTGCTGTTATCAACATTAAGGATTCTTATACATAATAATGGAGCATTGTGAATATTCTTTAAAGTAAAGATTAATGCAAAGAGTTTATGAATCAGAAATAAGATAGATTATAGTTGATGTATGTGAAGCACTATAAAATTTCCCATAACCTCATTTACATATACATGGTGGAAATGTTTTATTAAGCAAATAAATGAAATATAAGTTAAGTGATTATGGGTATTCAAATAATACAATTCATTAAGCACCTGAGAAAATAAAGAGCAAATTGTCTGATATTTATTAATTAGGTATTTTGATGATGGAATTAATGCTTGAAAAAGAGATTAGTTAAATAAGTTCTTTAATATTGTAAAAGTTCGATAATTTATCATATTATTCAGTATCATTGAAATAATAAATTAAAAAAATGGTATCGGCAATTCCTGATCATAGACCTGATATTTAATAATTAATTAATTTTGCAAAAGTGAATTTGGATTAAGAATTGACTTTACTTCAAGAATAAAATGCAGAATTGTAAAAATAGATTGATGAGGTTAAACCTAGAAACAGGAGAAGAATTTAGAGTGAATGATTTTAATTAATAGTTAATCTATATTCATAGTTTTTAAATTATTAAGTTAAAATGTTTAAATCAGATAGATAGAAGTCCGATAAGGAAAGAATATTTACAATAAATGCATCTGGAAAGGCAAATAATGAAGTGTTCCCTACAAATTTCATTAAGACATCAAAGTATAATATTGTAACATTCTTACCTTTATCTCTTTTGGGTTAATTTAGAAGATATGCAAATATTTATTTTCTGTTTATTGCCATAATTCAAAGTTTCCCTATTATATCACCATTAAATCCAATATCTGCAATAGCTCCATTAGTATTTGTATTAGGATTATCAATGATAAGAGAAGGTAAATTATCGTTTGATAAAAAGCTATGGAGGATATAAGTAGACATAAATCTGATAATGAAGTAAATGCTATGGAGTGTACTAAGATAATTAATAACAAATAAGTAAAGACAACTTGGGCTGATGTAAAAGTTGGTGATTTACTATATATATCTGAAAATGAGATGTTTCCAGCAGATATAATAGTCTTAAGTAGTTAATTTGAAAGTGGGGTTTGCTATATAGAAACATCTTCATTAGATGGAGAAAAGAACCTAAAGCCAAAGTCTGCAATTAAAGAGACTTAAACAATATTTGGGTTTAATGAAACTTAATCATAGAATTAAATGAGTTAGAACAACAATTAATAATTCAAAGCCTAAGGAAATCCTCCATCCCCAGCTTTGGGTGATTTTGAAGGTTCAATTCATTTTCCAAATGGAACAAAAAAGTATAAAATTTATTAGTATCAAGAGTTTTGAATGGTAAATAATTATTATTGAGAGGAGCATTTCTAAGAAATACAAAATTTATAGTAGGTGTAATAGTTTATACAGGAGAAGACACAAAAATAATGAGAAATGCAGAACCTTCAAGAATTAAATAGAGTACTATTGAAAGTACAATGAACAAACTGATATTGGGAATATTAGGTGTGTAAATCATTGCATGTGCATTATCTGCTATATTATCTTCATGGTGGTTACATAAATCATTTAGTAAACACATTTATATCATAATAACAGAATAAAATTATACTTTATTATCAGCTATTGCCTTCTTTTCATTCTTTTTACTTTACAATACTATGATACCAATATCCTTAGTTGTATCAATGGAGTTTGTTAAAGTTTTTCAATGTTATTTCATTAATAAAGATTAAGACATGTATTCTTAAAAAAGAGATAAATATGCTAAAGCATAAACATCAACTATTAATGAAGAATTAGGTTAAGTAGAATATGTTTTCTCTGATAAAACTGGAACATTAACTTGTAATCAAATGGAATTTAAATATTGTATAATAGGAGATATTCTTTATGGATAAAATGAAAAAATTAATAATTTGCCATCTCCAAAATAGAATAATCATAATGTATAAGAAGATACTTCTCAATTCAAACATTCAGTTTTTAATTTTCAAGATAATACATTAACTGGAATCATTTAAGATAAACCAGAATATTAAAATCAATCTGAATAACCAAGAAAATTGATCATTTAATCAAATGATAAAAATGCTACATTAGAAATAAAGACATAAAAAGAATTAGTTCATGAATATCTTATGTTACTTTCTAGTGCTCATGAATGTATAGCCTAGAAAGGAAAAAACTCTTAAATAAATTATTAGGGACCTTCTCCAGATGAAATTACATTAGTAGATGCTGCCATGAATTTAGGTTATAGGTTTGAAGGATAATCTGCAAATGAATAAGAAGTAAGTAATATTATTATAAACTTAGTTTACAATTAGAGGTAAATAAAAGAAAGTTGAACTTCTTTCATAATTTGAATTTGATTCAAATAGAAAAAGAATGAGTGTAATAATCAAAGATAATGGAATTTATAAATTGTATATCAAAGGAGCAGATAGTATTATAAAAGCTAGACTAAAACCAGATTAACCATTCTTAGAATTTATTTAAAATAAATTGTCAGAATTTAGTACTATAGGATTAAGAACTTTATTAATGGCAATGAAAATATTATCAGAATAAGAGTATCTTGCTTTTGAAAGACAAAAGGATGCATTGGCATCATCTGATAAAAGAGAATAAGAAAAGGAAGAATTAGTTAATAATTTAGAAAAAGATTTATATTTATTAGGTGCAACTGCTGTTGAAGATAAATTATAGGATGATGTTCCAGAAACTATTGCAGATTTATTAAAAGCAAATATTAAAGTATGGATGCTTACAGGAGATAAATTAGAAACTGCTGAAAATATTGCTAAAAGTTGTAGATTAATATAAAATGATTTTATGGTTATGAAATACTCAGAAACAGATCTAAATAAATTAAGAGTTTAATTATCAGAAAATAAATTGACTTATTAAGCTTGTATAAAAGAAAAGAAAAAGAAATCAATCTTAGTAGAAGGAGAATCTTTAGTCATATTAACTAATAATTAATAATTAAAGAGAGAATTCACAAAAATGGCTATGGGTTGTGATAGTGTTGTATGTTGTAGAGTTACACCAAAACAAAAGGCAGAAGTTGTCCACTTGGTTAAAGATCTTAATAAAATAACATTAGCTATAGGAGATGGTGCTAATGATGTCAATATGATACAAGAGGCACATATTGGAATAGGTTTATATGGTAATGAAGGAATGAGAGCTGTTTAAAGTAGTGATTATGCTTTAGGTGAATTTAGATTTTTATGGAAACTTCTATTAATACATGGTAATTGGTCATATATTAGAATATCAGAAATGATTCTTTATTTCTTTTACAAGAATATGATATTTACTGTCCCTTAATTTTTGTATTCTTTTTATAGTGCCTATAGTGCTTAAACCTATTTTGATGATTGGTATATCACATTTTATAATTTGTTTTTTACTTCCCTTCCATTAATTGCAAGAGCAACTTTGGATAGAAGTGTCTATTATAAAATGAATGTAAGAAATGAAGAATACTCTGATATTTATTAGAAGTCAACTTAATATTTAAAAGGAAAATTCCCTCTTCTTTATTCAGTTGGTTAAAAATAAACCATATTTACTTTACCAAATTTTATATTCTGGTGGGGCCAAGGATTTATTCATGGATTATTAGTATATTTTATTAGTTATGCATGTTTTGATACAGAATTAGTTAATCTCAATGGACAAAATGCAGGTTTTGCTACCCTTTCGATTACTGCATATACTGCAATTATATTTGTATATTTTATTCATTTATTTTATTAGATTGTTGACATTAAAATTGCAATTTATACTAAATTTTGGACTTTTATTAATATTATCACACTTCTTTTATTTTCAATAGGAATTTATATAGCATACTTTTTTATTTCCCACTATTTTAAGGGTACTTATTCTGAGTTTACTCCTATTTACTTAATTTAATCTCCAAATTTTTATTTGATTATTGCTTTGCTTAATGCTATTATATTTATATTTGATTTGGTTATTAATGCAATCATACATGAATTTTATTCAACTGAAACTGATAAAATAATAAAATGGAGAAGAGAGTTTAAATAATTAGCAAGGGAAGGCAATGTATTATAAAAGATTGAAATGTTACAATAAGGAAAAAGAGAAAATGGATAAAGAGACTGGGGAGATTCATTCTTTGAATAAATTTTAGAAGAGAGATTAAAATCTGATAGAGATTAAAATATTGTTGAAGAACAAAGAGCTATTTTAGATTCTAAATTTTAACCATATGCATCTCCAGTAAATCTCAATAATAGTGATCAGACTAATAGACAATGTTAATAAAGAATAGAATTATAACAAATTCAACTACCTCTATAAAATAATAATATTAAAACTATTAATTATTAAATGTCATAAAAACAATAATAAAATTTTAAGAATGTTAATGAAGATAGTAGAATAAATCATCCTTAGTAATAAAGAATTTATGTAAGATGAAAATCTATTGATATTAATTAAATTATCTATAAAGTAATTTATTAATAGTATATTACCATATCAATTTTAATATTAAAATTATGAAAAAATATGATAATAATTACAATAAATTCTAAAAAATTTTTAATTTAAAGTCTATATTTATTATCTTTTAGAATTTATTATTAATAATTGTTTTTATCATTATCATCTTTCATTTATAAAATTAATTGATATTATATTTGTTATTCATAAAGATATCATATTAAATAATAAGTAATTTGATTTCAATAAATAATAAGTTAAATTAAATATAGAATTTGATACATATAATATAAAATAGAGAATAAATATACTCTAAAATTATCATTCCATGATTTATAAAGTAGTTTCTGTCATTTCTCTGAAACTAGTTTTTTTATCCCAATGATATCCATCACCTAATGGTTTTCCTATAGGGATCAACCAAAGAAATGGATTTTTACCAAAATAAAAATTAAAGTTATACCAAAATCCTAAATTATATATTGTTAAATCCGTATGCTTATAAAATTAAATTGAAATTCATACATATTTTCTTTTATTTTAAACTTCAATATTTAAAATTATTTAATCAAGTGTGCAAATATTAACTGCAATAAGTTTGAAATTATTCCAAAAAAAATAATACAAACCAAAGCCATTTAAGAATTGTGAAAATGTCATTAGAAATATAAATCCTGCCTTGATTTTATTAAAATCAAATGAATCTTATTCCCAAATTCTATTCCAAAGAGCTTAAATATTTGTTAATCCAAGTAAAGTGGCTGAAAACATACCTACAGAACCCCAAAATAAAATGAGTAAGAAAAACTTCCTATTGTATAAGCCAATACAATTAGCTGTCCAAACACAATGATGATCCATATTCAAAACGCATCTTTTACATTTAGAACAATGATGTGATCTTTCTGGTCTCTTTATTCTACATTGTAAACAATATTCTCTTTATTTTGTTTCATCATATTCTACTAATGTATTTTTAGGAATAAATCCAGGATCAATTCTAGATGTTCTATAAAGTGCCCAAAATAACATAATAATACTAAAAGTGCCTATACCTATATATATCCATTCCATCAAACATTCTAATGATTAATATTCTTGAATACATTTTGAAATTTATATAAAAACAAAGTATACAAATGTAAAGTAAATGAATAGTACAAAAAAGGCTAGAATTAAAGGAAAGTATTTCTTTAGAGCTTCAGGCATTACTTCTGCAATCATTAAAAAAAAATTATATTATTTTAAGAATATAATGAAATAATATTGTAAATGGAATTTCTCTTGGATCTTTATAACTAAAATGATATTAGTGATAGTGTGTATAAACTAAAAATCATCATAATTAACTCAAATTTCTTAATTGATCTAAATACTATAATGGACTTATTATTTAAGTAGATCCAATATATACTTATTTTAACTTATTTGAATAATAATTTCTTATTGAACAAACTTCAGAGTGACTGATTCCACCTAAAATAAATATGCATACACTGATTTATTCTACTTTTTCTTCTTTCTTTGATCTCAAACTTTATTAAGCATTTGTTTATTTTTAACTTGAATTTTATCCATATAAAGTAACTGTATTAAATTTATTATCATCATTCAAAAGATCATTCAATAATTTTTCAATTTCAGGTGTATGTCTTTATAATTCTAAAGTCATTTGACTTAATTTTTATTTAGCTAACAATCTTGATTCTTTATTAATATTTTTTGTTATTCTGTTTGATTTCATTTTATCAAAATCAAATCCTAACTTCTATAAACCATAAAATGGTTTTAAATCTGTTATTTTATCAAGTATCTATTTACGTTCATATTCAGGCATTGATACAGTAAGTAAAATTATTAAAACTAATCTAATTTTATCATTATCTTAAATGATTTTTGATTATAACATAAATAAGACTTCCTAATATAGTTAATCTGATTTTGTTTGATTTCCTTATTTAGTAGTCCCTGTTGCTAGAGCTTATTCTAATTCTCCTAAATCTTTTAAACCTTTAGTTTCGAATTATTTCCAAATTTAATCAATTTAATTCATATGAAAAGTAAAGTCTTTTAATTAACTATTATAATTGGGCATCGAACTAATGATTTCCTACATCTTTTGAGTATCTAATTCTTTAAAGTCTCCTTTGTGGATTAGAGCTGATGGATTAGTATTAACCATTTTTTGAAATTCTTAGGGTATTCCTTCTAAAGCATAAGCAATATGTTTATATCTATATTTTTAATATACATTATCTTCACACTCAAAAGGAGAGAAAGTCTAAGGTAATAAATCAACAACTAATGATTCATAATGAAAATCATGTAACAATGGTGTAAGAAGATCAAAATTACGATCCAATATTAAGAAATGTAATTCTCCACCATCATCTTTTATCATTTAATTTGTTCTTTCCCAATTATCTAATAATCTTGGAAGATAATTAGTAAACAATTATGCAAATTGATTTGTTTTTATTGTTGATAATTTTACACATTAAAAAGGTCTCATTGAAGGCAAAGAAGATAAAAACAATTAAGCTATTTGCATTAAATCATCAAAGTAAATTTGTGGAATTTAAAAATGGAAAGTATTATCATCAAGAAAATAAAGATGATGGTTGAACTCTTTAATTTATATTATACGATTAGCTAGATTTGATTTGCATATCTATTCTAATAATCTTTAAGGTAAATTGTAAGAAAATATCACATTAATTTTTCTATACATTTATTAGTCTTTAAAATCTCCAATAAGTCTATTGACTGAATCATCTGAAGGTGTTATGAAATAGAAAGCATCGTGTTTGGGATATTATTTACGTTGTAATTCCAATTTTTCTATTGTTGATACTCCCATGTCTATCAAATCTTTAAGTTTCATTATTGAACTCAAAATTTTGGCTGAAATTTAATCTAAAATCATTATAAGGCATCTTTCAGGATTTCTTTATTTAATTGCATGAACTAAATCACAAAATCTATTTTTTGCATTTTATTTCATTTATAATTATATTTAAGAGAATGAATTTATTTATGTACATATCATATTATTATATTTATCTTAAAAAGTCCTCTGGCATTAAATAGTATCTAATATATATATTAATACATAATATATTTTTATAATATAATGGAAATCTCAAATATATTAAATGTTATCAAACATTTTGTAACACTCATTAATTGAATATCCTTTAGTTTGACAATCATCTCCAATTAGTTTTAAACGCACTGATTCTCCTTCTAAAAATTCATCATGTAAGTAATCATGATATCCATCTCCTAAATTACTAATTGCTTTTATTCTTGATTCTATAGCATTTTTCACTAAAAATAAGTATATAAATTAAATTACGCAATTTCAGATTTTCAACTTTTTCGTTATCTTCTTTATCCTAATTATCGGCTTGTGGCTATACTTATTATGAATTATTCGTTTTTATCTCTGCTTTTCTTTCTTCAGCTTCACCTATTTTAATTTCTAGTTTTGATCTTTAATTTCCTTATGGCTCTTTAAGTGCTATTTTCATATTTTTAAAAGCATCATTCATCGCATCCTCCAACCTTTTTTTTTTAATAAAAAATTCCTTTTCTTACTATGCCTATTGTTATTAATCTTAAATGTTTTAATTCTCCTATTAATATGTAAAATATTCATCATTTAGCAATTTAATTTCATAATTTTATAAATTCTTCTCTTCTTTTATGCACTTTTTACAACATAGAATTTACTCGTCAAATTAGATTTACGTAGCATTATTCTAATTTTTCTTTATTAAGATAAATTCATAAAGGTAACCATGCTCTTCACAAAAATTTTCACATCCTTATGTTAAATCTAACATTTCTCTTAATTAGGCTATGTTTGTTCCTTCTACATAGTGTTATTTGAGTATATTAATAAATTTGTTTTCATGACAACAATGTTTATCATATCCAAGCGTTCTTCCTGCACATCCTCTACATATTAAGGGCCTTTTTTGGATCTCATCAAATTTTATCATTAATAATTAAAAAAATAATTTACAAATAATTTATAAAAATATACTTTTAAATTATAATATGCAATATTCAAATCTATTAACTAAATAATTATCATAAATTATTTTTTTTGTAGTATTTATATTAAATATAGTATAAAAGAACATAATTGAGAGTTTGGATAATCAAATAATTAAATTTATCTACTAATTATATTATGAAACAATCAATAAAATTTCCTTTAAGTAGATAATTGTAATATTTGATTAATTATCATCAAATAATTCGGATCTAAATTAACTACTCTAAAATTCTTAGAAGAATTTAATTGATTCAAAGTCAATAAATAATAATTAATAAACTTTTTTAAAGAACTATATTGATCTAATCCTAAATTTATTGTAATATACAATGAAATTATTAGATATAAATTATTAGTTCTACTAGTTTAATTCTTTACAAAATAGTTCAAGTACTATTTAAATTCAGAAATGTTAATAAATAAATAAATTAAACAATAAATCTATTTTGACTACTTACATTTACAATAACTCTGTTCAATTCTTAAAGCTTTCTGTTAATTTTATATTTAATATTTAAACTTATTTCTATGACCAATCAATAGGAAGAGCATAAATTTATTAATTGATGAATTAAGCTCTATTCATAAGTTAATCCCAAATAGAATAATATAGTATTTAATAGTGCTGGATTTATATAAAACAAAAGGCTAATTAAAGACCTTAATAATAGATTGGCTTAAGTTCATGTTAGAGTATAGAGACACTTATTCAATAGAGAATAATAATAATAATAATAATAATAATAATTATTATTATTATTATTATTATTATTATTATTATTATTATTATTATTATTATTATTATTATTAAAAAAATTAAAGGTACTCATAAAAGAGTAATAAATACCTAAACTAGTCTTTAATTAACTGTAGATAATTAAAATTGGACTATTATTATCGTAATAAATTTAGTAATAATTTGTACCAAAATCAAGGTAGAAGTACAATAAAAAATTTTCAATTTAATCCTAAATAGGATACTCTTTTAAAAAAATATGTTTAATCTTATATTAATTCAAACCAATAATCAAACTATATCACTTTTTTTTTGCACCTCCTCCTTTTCCCTTTTTTTTACCCAACAATTTAGCTTACTTCATTAAATTATGCACAGTTTTTTCTTTTATTTTAGCTTCCTTTTCCAATTCTTCTTTCCAATTTTATTCCAATTCTAATCTTCTAGCATTCATTCTAGAAATAATCAATTAATTAATATACCTTTATTCTATACCTTCTTAAGCTGTAATAGCCTTTTCTTTATCTTACATTTAAATTGTTGAAGTTTAATCTTCATTTCTAATTCTTTGTCTTTCTTAAAATTCTCTATAACGTTCATCATCATAAATCTTTTTATTTCTAATTAAATAATCCTAACATTTTCTAACATCATTTAAATTCATTTTTGGATTTTCAGTGATATCTAAACAAATTAAACTTGTGTTATCTCTTAATGAATTTGCCAAAGCTTCACCACATTTTTCATCAAGTTTACAATTACATAGATTTAATTATAAAAGAGTATCATTTTTTTCAAGAGCTTCACATAAAGCATATATTCCACTATAATCATATGTATTTCTATCTTTATCATGATTAGTTAAATTATTGTTTTCTAAATCAATAACACGAATAGATTTATTGATTTCTAATAATTTTGAAATGGCAACTAATGTTTTTGATCCAAGATTGTTACCTTCTAGTTCTAATCTAATATAGTTTGAAATATCAACCTTTCTAAGACCATATTTTTTTCTAAACTTGCTGCTATCTCTTATCCTTCTTCATCTCCTATACGTTTCCTACTCATTGATAAACCTTTTAATGTATTATTATTTTCTGTAACCTTTACCAAAACTCTAATTTAAGTTGGTCTTAAATCTAATCCTGAAATGGTGTAATCCAATTTAGAATCCCCAGTAGCCAAATCGATCATCATATTACCATATTCACCCTTTAATGTATTCATTTATTGTATTTCTTCTTAGCTCCTTTTTTCTTCTTCCTTTTTTCTATCTTCTTCTTATTTCTTAATTCTTTCTTATTCAATCAAATATTATTAAAATTTCTTCTACTTTTCTGCTTACTCTTTTTATTGTGTCTCTTACTATTTAATGATATGATTTAATATGTTACTTCTCTTTTCTTCTTCTATTCCTCCTCTAACTATTTCTATCTTCTCTCTAGAGTTCTCTTAGTATTTGGTAAGATTTCTGTGATGATTGATTTGTGAGTCTAGTCCATTTGAAAATAAAATATTAAAATTATTAAAAAAATAAGGAAACTGTTATATCAAATACTGTATTCACCTGATATTGCCTCTATTAAAATAAACAATAATTTGAAGATTTATGTATAACTATTTAAACATGCTATTAATGGATATTCTTCAATTTCATACAAAATATCAGTCTATCTTAATATTAATATATACTTTAAACTAGTAAATTAGTATACAAACATAAGTAAATGTTATACTTGAACATATTATTGCATTCTCAAATGCTGAATCCATTAAAAAGATAACACAAGTAATAAAAATCATTTAAGAGAATAATACCCATATGAAAACACTTGAGTATTCAAATTCATGCTGTTAAAATAGAGAACATACTATTAATCCTAATATTGGAAATATATTAGAATATAATAATAGTTAAACATCCTTATTTGAGTCATAAATCACAAATAAAAAGCTCAAACTAAATGTAAATGATACATAGAGGATTAGACTATAAAAATTTCTTTTCATTACCTAAATGGCTATTTTTTGAGTTTATGTTTAAATATATCTGAATTTAACAGTATTACTATAATCACAAATATTGTGGTTATCTTATACTTTAAATACAACTCTAAATATATTTAATAGATGTATGTGTATCCATAAATACATGTCCACAAAACAAATAAATGTTAGATAATAATAGTAAGAAGTATATTTCTTTAATTCTTAAGAGTTTCATTATCCATTTCTTTGATGGCATCAATTTGATCAATAATGTTATGAGTCTTTCGAAATCGATTTTTCATGTATTAAATTAATACAACATCGGTATTAATTATTTAAATATATACATCATGATTTTCAATTCTGAAATCTCAGGCCAACAACAACACACAACATCACCTGTTGTAACAGGAGGCAGTGTCATTGCTTTAGTTTACAATGGAGGAGTAATTGTTGGGTCTGATACTCTTTGTAGTTATGGAAGCATGGCAGCATTCAAGTATAATATAAATATAATTCATTTAGGAATGTATAAAAGATTGTATAAATATCCTAAAACACAATTTATGCATCTAGTGGTGAATATTCTGATTTCTAATAAGTGGTGAAGGAATTAGCAAAAATTGATAGATCAGCTTTATAATATGATGATGGGGTTCATCCTTCTCCTAAAGATTATGGCAATTTCTTAGCAAGATTATCTTATAAAAAAAGATGCAAAATTAACCCTTTGTATTTACAGAATGTTATAGCTGTATTAAATTCTAAAAATTTAGGGATTTCATAATAAAGAGAGATATTTAGCACTTGTTGATATTTATGGTACATATTTAGAGTCTAACTTTATTACAACTGGATTTGCAAGTTACTTCTGTAAAGCTATCATTAGTAATTATTGGAATGAGAATTGTACTCTTGAATAGGCTAAACAAGTAATTAGAGAATGCTTTAAAGTATTAATGAATTCTATTAATAGGTCTTATTCTGTAGAGATTGTAGAGCTCATGATGTAATTTAATTGGCATATGTTGATGAATAAGGTACACACATTGAAGAGCCTGAGAGAGTAGAAACTAAATGGGATTTTAATGGATTCAAATCTAGAGCTAATGAGAAATTACACACATAATGAACATTATTATTATATGATTTTTATTATTCACTCCTCTCAAGGATCAGCTACTTATGGTCTAGTAGAAATAAAGCTTTCTCTGCCACTGGGTTACCATTCCATTGCTTCATACCAAAATGTACGCAATTTCATGTCTCTACATCTAATAAAACGTTCAAATCTGCTTGATCTCCAAAAGAATTTATCTATTCTTTCATGAGAATGATAGAGAATGTCATATAAACAAACTGGCAATAAAGTTCCAAGTGTTGTAAGCACCATACAAACTGGAGCTATTTTGAGTACTGTTCTTAAAGGAATTGGATATGAACTATTAGGCACAGGCATAATTATTATTTATTATTATTATTATTATTATTATGTTTATTTTTCTTCTAAAATAATTGATAATATTAGAAATCATAAAAAATAAAGGATATTAAAAAAATTGATCATGCAAATTTAGATTTCTTGAAATTTATTAACTTAATAGTGAAAAAATATGGAATGGAATGGTAAGGATATAAAATAAGTAAAGTTAAAACATTATTAAATATACATAATATATTAGTTATCATTTCTTTGTCTTTTAAGCTTTCCAAATTAACTCTTAACTAGTCTCATATTATTTATCAAAGAGATCAATATCTAAACAACGCTTACTCAATTACTTTTTACAATTTTACTCACTGTAACTTTTAGCTCTTTAATTTGAAATCTAAATATATAATATAACTTACTTGATTTATAATTTCAAATTACTATTTGAAAGGAATGTTGCTAGTAGAAGTCTATACTTATTTTATATTTTTAGTGCTTCCATTATTAAGACTGTTCAGAAATGGATTTTATGAAGTTGATTGTTATGGAGTTTATTATTGTTAATTAATGATATTAGTATTATTGGATAGGACTTAAGTTTGTTAATTACCATAGCAAGATTTGGAAGAGGACCTATTATTTTCTGATTAAAGTTGTTATTATTGAAAATAATTAAGAGGTCTTTAACTATTTTATGATGTTTTAGCAGTGCTGCATTAATCATATTATCTATGAGATTAAGCAATGGAATCTAATATAGAAATGAGTAATTTACATCTGAAATTATTTTCATAAGGACTCATACAAGGAGATTAGTTTTCTTCAACAACCGTTGATAATTGAGGTTAATCTAAAGTGCGTTTGGAATCTGGTTTATTCATTGAAGAGTGATGTTAATGATTCTCTTTATTAGCTTTTATATCTTGGGAACGCATAACTTTAGTATTGAAAGCGAATTGTTTATTTTCGTAAGTATTCTTTGCACTTTTAGGTTACTACAATTCAAGATGTTGATTCTTCTTTTATTTATTTAAATCGACTGACATCTACATAGATTTAGGGACAGATAGATATTAATCTTCTCTGTAAGGTTCTTCAAGTTCTTTATTAATACTTTCAAATGCTGAATCAAATGGAGTCCCTTGAAGTTGCATAATAGAAATCTATAAGTGATTGATTACATGATTACTTTCTTATTGTTATTAAATATTTTAGAAAAGTTGTCTGGCTTAATTATTTCGTCTGGTTCTGTTTTATTAGGTCTAATTGGAGATAATTTTATTTGATCTTTGGGTTATGAATATTTGTGTCTACGATGTTGAGTAGCTATTAACTATTATAATAGTGATGCCTTAATAAATAGAGACTATGTATTTACATTGCATTGATTCTGTTTATGGGTTTCAATGGTGATTTCCATCAGTTGACTGAAAATAGATGTCCAACCTTAAAGTGTTTATTTGATTTGATGAATATCTTAAGATAGACAATCCAAGTTGAAGGAATGAGCTTCCATTAAACCATTTTAGGGATGATCGTACATTTGATTGTTAAAAATATAATTAAATGTCAAATTAATAATCAGGTAATGAGAAATCTAAAAGCAAATCCTAAAAATTATAGACCATGGAATTGAATGGAAAAAACTATATCTTATTGGATAAATATTTTTATAATCCTGATGATGTAATAGGTGAAGGGGCATTTGGTAAAGTTTATCGTGGATTCAATTTCTAAGCGTAATTATTTTGACTTACTTAATAATAGACAAAAGAAAGAAAGTGATAAAGAATGTGCAATAAAGAAAATGGAGCTTCCAGAGAATATGGCTATAATGACTGATAGAGAGAAGATGACATTGGATGCTGTAAGAAAAGAGATTTGTGCATTAAAATTACTTAAACATCCCAATATTGTTAAACTTTATGATGTAAAGAAATTATAAAATGTAATTTATATGGTTATGGAGCTTTGTAATGAAAAGGTATAGTGTAAATATATTCTTAATGATCTTAGTCTCTATCTGAATTCATTAAAGAAAATAAAGATATAACTGAACCAGAGATAAGGTACAAGTTTGGTGAAGTACTTAATGGATTTAAATATCTCAGAAGTAAACAAATCATACATCGAGATGTGAAACCAGAAAATATCCTTATAAGAAAAGGGGTCTTAAAAATAGCAGACTTTGGATTTGCTAAATAACATAATTCAAAAACCTAATTGCATTCTTATTTAGGAACAAGAGCTACTATTGCTCCATAAGTTATATTAGGTATATTCTTTGATTTCAGTTAGGTGATTATACTGATAAATGTGATATTTGGAGTTTAGGAGCTACTCTATATTTTATGTGTTTTAAGAAATATCCATATAAAGAATTTTATGCTAGTGAAATTAAATTAATGGAATTAATGAAAAGAGATTTTATTGAATTTCCAAAAAATGGTATGTAAGTATCTTAACCTTTATAATAAATTATTGTATAAATGATGAGATATAGGGAAGAAGATAGAATAGATTGGAACGATTTATTTGCATGTCCTTTATTTTAAAATAAATTATTAAAAGAAATGGGATTAAATATATTTGAATATCATGAAACATAAGATGATTCTGTTGATATTAATGATGCAAAAATTGATGATTTTGATTTTGAAATGAATGATCATTCTGAATAAGAAATTGAAAGAATTAATGAAAATGCTAATGTTGTTATTTATTAAGCTGAAAAATAAAGAAAAAATGAAGAAATCTTCTCGAAATTGATTAGTAGACTCACATTTGAAAAGGGTAAATGTATGTTCCTAAGATTATTATCTTAAAGAGTTAAAGAATATGAATTAACTTTATCTAATAAATTAATCTTTGAAAAAAGTAAAGTAGATATTTCAGATCATCTTAAATCATTAAGATTTGGATTAAATAAATTTGAACTTATTATTAATAGAGGATTAGTAGAATGGATGGAAGTTAATAAGAATCTTAAATACTATTGTTGTTGGGATATTAATAATCCAATAGGTGTTAATGATACAGATTGGGAAAACTTTTTAACAGAGGGTTTAGATAGAGAAAAAATTAAAAAGGCACTTGAAAAAGAATTAAATATCACTTAATAATATGTTTACAATGCTTCATAAGATTAATTATAGTAATTTTAATAAATGAATGAAAAAGCATTTCAAAAGTTGAATGTTAATAAAGAATTTATGAGTTCAAATTTTGAATGTAATAAGAATTTTTTTAAAGTTCTTTATGATCTAAGTTTAGGATTGGCTCGATTACTATTTCCAGAAATTGTGAAAATTAGAAATAATTTAGATTCTCTTCATAAAGTTCTTCCAACATTAGTTCTCGTTGATGATCTATTCATATTATTAACTCTTGACTCAGTATTTTCACATACTGATTCTAGTTAAGTGAATTATACTGCATTTTTTGAATTGAGAAAAAAGAATTATTCAGAAGATTAAATAATGTATAAGACTATGTATTAAAGAGTGATGAGAGCATATGAAGTATTTTTTGAATGAATAGATTATCCATTTCTATATATATATATATATAACTATTATATTCTAAAATAATTTAATGATTAATCATAAAATTAAGTATTATGAAATAAATAAAAATTTGTTTCTTTAGATAATATTTATGCTTCAAATTAATTATGTTTAATATTAATTCATCTATATATCACATTCAATAATATTATGATTCATCTTCCTCTTCTGATTCAGGCATATCAAGATTTCTCTTTTATTTTTTAGGTTTAGGTACTCCTTCAGCAGTCACTCTTCTAATTACATTAAATTTAAGTTTACTTTTTCTTTTTCTTCTTTTTTTCTTATTATTATTCCTCTTAACCTTCTTCTTTTTATTCAACTTTTTAAGGTTATTCCTATTATTATTATTCAACTTCCTCATCATCTTCTTAATCATCTTCTGCTTGATGTTTTAATTACTCAATCAATTCACCTTCATTAACTGATTCGAATTATCTATCTTTATGATTCCCCCATTTTCTATTTTTTCCTCTAGCGTCCTTAGGCATTTATTAAATTTTAAAATATATATATATATTTATATCAGCGAACGGATCATTCATCACTAAACATAAGTAATGTATAATATTTCATCATTATTTATAAGTTAATTATCAATATTATGTGCCTTAATCTCAGACTCTTAAGTGTTAAGAGATATTTTATTTAAATATTTTAAATAAATTAATGATTAATTTTCATAATTAGCGAAGAATATTAATTGCTTATTAATCAATCAATTCTAATGGAATTACTGTTAAGGATAACCTTAACAGGTTGATTTGTTACTACTACATTTTTGCAAAATATATCAAGGCTAATCCTACAATCATTAAGGTACAACATCCAGTTATCGAATAATAGATAAGAATTACATCAAAATTATCTTCTATTAATTCCATTGTAAGATCTAATATTTCTTATCCAAATTTTTCAAATGCTATTTTTGTATTGGTGAAATACCTACCAAAAATTTAATTAAAATCAACAGAATTCAATATTTCTAATGAAGCCTAGAAATCAGGATCTATCCTTTCCATTTCCAATTCATAATTATATGAAATTGTAAGGAAATTAGACATTTTTGTATAAATCCCTATTATTCCTTTATTGTATAGATATGTACAATTATCTTTAATATTTGATGAATTTGGGCATATTAAAGGACATAAATCTTAGAAAAATATTTCATTTAAAATACCAGCCTTTTTAGGATCAATATTAGGATCTTTAATAAGGATTGATATTATTTGAATTTAACTCTATTGAAATGATTTAACCAAATCTTTAAATTCACTTAAATTTTAATATTTTTCAATTTTAAAATAATTTATAGCTTAATTTAGAATTTTAGGATTAAGTTTATTTGTTAAAGAATTATTACTTAAAATAATATTTTGACTTTTTATTCGCATAGCATTACTCACAATTGAATCAACTTGTAATGTAAAATGATGAAATTCTGCTGTTAATAGAAAAGATGGTTTTAGTTATTTTTATTTTTATGAATTCAATAAAAATCCACCTATATTAACTAATAAAATAATTAATAAAAGAATGAGTAAAAATGCTGATGTTGTATAGATATTAAAATTTTATTGCTGTAATCGAGAAGATAATAAAGTAGTCTTATTTTATTTTCCATTTTTAGTTTATTATTCATTAAGAGGCTAATATATAATATGAACATAATCAGCCTTTTTCCAATTTAAAGAATATTTATCAAATAGTATATCTCGAACAGCTTGTAATCTCTAGATGGCAATCAATACATCCTTTTCATATAATCTACAATTTAAATGAATAATTTTTCTATAAATTTTAAGTAAATCTAGTAAGACAAGGAATTATATTAAAATGAGTGAAAACTATAGGACAGTTTGAATAATAAATAAATTAATAATGAATTCATCATTTTAATCTATATGATCATAAAATTTATCAATTAATTGTCTAAGTAATAATCTAAATAATTATGAAGTTTCATTTAAATTTAAAGTTTCAAATAAGGATTGTTAAAAGAAATAATCATCAAAATTGTTAATATTGTATTCTTAATAGAATTGAATTATTAATTAAAAAAATATTTTTATTTGATTGTAAAAGTATGTAAATGTCATATTTTTAATGTCAGGAGAATCAATATAATATAAAGAAATATTTGAATTTAAAATATTTTCTTCTTCTTCTTCAATTTATGAAAATACTTAATAAAATTTAGACATATTTTATAAATATTAAATATTATTAAATCTATTTTTTATAGTATCTAATAAATCTTCACTAAATTCAATACCTTAAATTTAGGCTAATTTAAAAATAATATCATGAGAAGTTAATTCACAATAATAATTATTGTATATAAAAGGAGCCTATAATTCAATTAATAAATTATTGCTATATTATTTTTTTGTATTAAGTGTAATTATAGTAAAAATATTAAAAATGATTATGCTTAACACTATTAATAAATCTATTAATAAAATTAAACTAAGTTAAATAGGTTTCACTTTTGAACGAGACTTCTATTTTAATAATTCATGATTATGGTTTTTAGTTCTTCTAGCAATAGATCCAGCAGAATTAACTGCTTAAATTTCTTATTAATTATTAATTTGATAATTTTTATCTTCAGAAGATTACTTCTCCTATAATTAATCTAAAACTGTTTTATGTTTACAATATTAAAATTAATCTACATTGTTATGTTAATCATAACTAAGTTCTTATTATTATTTAATAATTTTAAAATCATCCTCTAAATACTTTGAATCATCATTAATACTTTTATGTTTAATAAGATTAAAAGTAGCTCGTTATGAAAATGGAGCTAATATTTATCTAGATGAATCTTATAATTAATCAAAAAATGATTAATCATATTTACCTCTAATTAAAGAAACTTCTGGATATTATTATAATTTATCATTTTCTTCAATTTTAACTTTTTAAAAACTTTCATTTTAAATAGAACTCAAAACTTGATGACTTGATTTATTTAAATCTGATAATTCCATATTTTAAAGCATAACTTCTGAATTAATTTCTTCATTGTTTTCTTCTATTGTTTAAGTAATAATGTCATTTATTTCTAAAGTAAATAATGGTATTGATTTATAATAACCAAGAACTAAATATTCTAAATAACAATTTATTTTATAATTAGTAGTTTAAATAGAATCATCTACATATTATAGCATTCTTTCTTAAAAACCTTCATCAAAGAGTTCACAATCAGGTTTTATTTATTCATAATGATTAAAGTCTATATTACATTGTTATTCCTTTCCCACTTAACAGTAGTCATGAGTATCATAGGTGGTCCAAATGCCTGCATAATACATTTAATGTTTACTTTTTCCTTTTGAACTTTTCATCAATTTTTAAAACTGCCCTTTTATTGGATTTCCTATTTTTAAAACTATATTATTTTCCTGATTTATATCTTAATCTTGTGTTTTATAAGCATTAATCACAACAAATATTTTAGGAATAAGTTAAAATATATATCCTTAAGTTAATTGATCTTAAGTAATAGTCTTATCAATTGAACTTAATAACTTAAACATTAAATGATTAGCTCCTAAAATTTTACCTTTAGAATCAAAAAGTAAAAATAAACATTTTTCTTTAGTTTTTGAGAATGCAGCTGTTATAATATAATCATCATAACTAATGAAGAAATTGTCTATTGTAATATCAGCAGGAATAAAAAAATTATTTTTGCCTTTTAGAAATACAGTTCTACTCTTACCAAATAAAATACTATGGCCTAATTTTTTAAATCTCTCTAAATATTAATCATGAACTAAAGCCAAAAAGTCAGGCATTAATTAATTAATATGTTTGATATCTCTAAAATCCATTTCATTTTCATAACCCCAAAATTAAGCAATTTATTAAGTATTGATTCTAACTATTTATCCTTATGATTTCACTATACTAGAATATAATAAGCAAATCTTATTTTCCATAATATTTCCATTCAATAATTTTCCTTCTGCTAGACTTTCCGTTCTTAAAATATCATTCATTACTTTTTGCATTTTTATTGCTTATTAATAGTCATTCACTATTATTGCATAATATATTAATAAAATAATTACTTCAATTACTGTTCTAGGTTATTCAATATCTTCTATGTCTTTACATTTATATAGTAATTCAAGTTGTTGTTAACATTAAACAATTTTTTAGCTTAATTTTGAAGTTGCATAAAATAGTCTCTTAAAATTGTTGATCAAAGAAATCAATTATCTCCAATAATTCAATTTATAATCTATTGTACTAATTATCATAGGTATTGAATTATCTCTTATTTAAATAGCTTCATATATGTCTCTTGTTGACAATATTCTATCATCTTGGTATGATCCAGCTTTATTTATTTAATTAATATTTTCTTGTACTTTTGTTACTGATGTCCATAATTAATTATGTAAACTTGGAAATACTATTTTAAAGAACATTGAATGATCTTAATGGATATTATAATATTATTTTAATCTGCACAAAGCAGTTAATGGAGCTTTATGTATACATAAGAAATGAATTAATGCCAATTCCAAGATTTCATAATCTAATTTTAATCTTTTACTTTGAACTATTTTATTTTCTAATTAACAAATCACTATATCAATCTTATTTTAATTTTTATGAAGTATTTTACAACTATTCTTGTGTTACATTACTTTAATGTAATGTAAAATATCTTCTTAATCATAAAATTCTTAACATTAAATTAAAATTTGAAATTAATTTTAAGAATCATAATCTGCTTTCCTATCATACAATTAATAAGATAGAGCATATGCTAGAGTTCCAAATAGAATTGTAAAATAGAACATATTTTCCTCTGATTTGGTTATCAAAGAAATTGAGTTTAGTAATACTATTGCACTATATAAAAAATTATATTAAAATGCCAATTTATTGTATTGTAATCGATATGGTTTGAACATAATTACATCCAAACATAAGGATACTCCTTGAAATAATAGCATAATCTATTAAAATAAATGAAATTCAAAATCAATTAAACATATTGTATCCAAAATAACATTAATTATTGTAAGTTATGTAAATTTTCTAATAAAAGGATTACTATGAATAAATTTAGTGGATCTATTAAAATATAAATTAAAAGTTAGAATAGAGAATAGGATAATCACACCAATTATTGAAAGTTCTATACTTCCAGATCGATAAGCCAACATGGCTACCTGAGGTATATAGAATATCTTCCATAATAAGTTATTGTAATAAAATACTAATTACACTCTAAAAAAGCTTAGGATGAATATGCTAATGTTGAACAATATCAATATTATTTTAATAGTGTCTGAAATTTCATGATATAAATATGACAATAGGATATATGGAACATTTAATTTAAAATCTGAATATTTCCAAACATTCCAACCATCTTTAGGAAAAATGAAATGCGTTCTTAAAATAAATTAAAATAGAAGTGCACCTTTAAATAATGAATCCCACAATTGAATTTTTGGAGATGCAGTCATTAAGTCTAAATAATTTTTGATTAGCTTTTAAGTTATCTGCAACATGATTGAAAGAATAAAATTATTTAAGCTAAACTAACTAATAACTTAAATTAATAATATATAATTATCTTATTTTAAATTATTTATGATTAAAAAAACCAAATTTCTTATCTCATAAAAAGAAAGTTTTTTATCAACATACAGAAAGCGACACATAGAGAAATACCATAAATTTATTTTAATAAAATCATTTGAATTAATTTTGAACTATAATTCAGCATAACGTTAATAAAGATTAAACATATTAAAATTAAAAGAACTACACAAATTATTCTTGAAATAATAAATAATCTTATGATATTTATTATTATTAATATCAAATAAATTCTATTAAGAAGAAAAAATTAAATTTTATTTGAACATCCTTATTTTTTTTTTTCTAAAATAGAATTCATAAAAATTATCATTTCAAGGTAATATTAATATAGATTTCATTCCTGATGAGTCAAATACTAATTGATGAGGATTATTAGGTTATCTAATCTCAATTTATATTCCTGGTAAATTACATTTACCAATTTCTATAGGAAATAATAAATATGATAAAATGACTTCATCATTTACCCAAATCATTTACTTTACTCTTCCCATAACAAAAAATGATTTCTTTTCTTAATCTTTTAATTAAATGAAAAAATTCTATGCTTCTGAAGTCTTCAATTTAATTTAAATCTCAAAAGTTTATTGAGATTTACAAGTAGGTGGAGATATAATTTCTACATTTTGCATATAAGATTACACATTCACATCATTAACATAAACATTAGTCTCATAATTATTAGAATTTCTTTAATATTTAACTCTAAAATATCCAAATTATAAATAACTTGTTTATTCTCTTGTCTAAAATATTACATTTAATTTATTTTTGTTAAAGAAATCTAAATCAACTACTGGTATAAATTCAGTTTCTTATGGAACTAAATCATAAATTTCTAATTATAAACTGCATCTACTATAAGCACTGACTGAATTCTTATTTCGATTTTAAGCATTTTAATATACACTACTCATTTATTTAAGTTTAATTTTATATGTAAAAGGAAACATAAATTTAATTTTCTTTGTAATAGTTTCACCTAATATTCTAAAGGAAATATTTTTTTCAAGAATTTAAGTTTCTGTAATTAATAGTGTAAATTTGTTTGTTTTAATTATCTTATCATCAGTTTATTTAAATTTCTATAAAGTATTTTTGTTTAAATTAAATCCAATAAGTTCAATTTCAGTAGCATAACTTAATTCAACTTATATTTCATTAATTTCATTGATATAAGCAATGTCAGATGAAAAATTAATGATAGGAGGATCTCTTGATTTTTAAGATAAATAATTAACTTTATACTTGTTTGAAAATAAATCAACATCTTAACAAATGATTGTAACTGATAATTTATCTCTAAAAAAATAAATAATAAGTTTTACAAATATTTTCCAAATAATTTAATCTAAACAGGTTTTTCTATAATTTTATCTGTTTTTAAAATTGAATTTTAAGTAGCTATAAATTCTATTTCATAATTTCTACAGTAAATAATACCAGTCTCTATCAAATCTAAAATTTATTAGTTGATATTCATTTCAATTTTAAGTTAGACAAATGATTCATCTGACTCTAATTTAGAAATAGAGATAAATGAATTTGCTGGAATAACTAAATCTAATTTTTCATTTAATTAAGATGATAATTTTTTAATATCTGTAATTTTGTTTTATTCATAAAGTAATATTTCACTTAATAATTAAATTTATTTAATAAGTGGAGCTGTTTAATATTATAAATATATTAAATTTTTATATTCTTCCATTAATCCAAATTAAATTAAATTATCTTATATTTATTGTTTCAAATCAAAGTTTTTTTAAATCAATATTTGTAAATATTTAAAATATACATTTGTATATTAATAATTAACTTAACCATTATCATTATATTATTTCCATATTTCAAATATAAATGAAACATCTGGAGCTAATTCTATCTCTTTTTTTCTAAAATTCATTATCTATTAATAATAATATCTCTTTTGTTCACTCTTTATTTCAATAATTTAATCATTTTCTCTGATCAAATAATTAGGTCTTCCTAAAAACTCAGGTTCTGATTTATATATTTAACAACCATATTATTCCATTTAAGAATTTGATTATTGTTATCCCAAATATTGTAATTTTATATATGACAATAGAGTTGTCTGTAATAATGATAAAATATTACTTAAAAATAGTTATAAACTACATTATAATTAACAGTTTAAATTTTTGATTCTAAAAATCTTATAATTGAAGTAAAGATTTTTACTCTCCATAAATATTCTTAAATATCAAATAGATTGTATTAAATAATATTTTTAAATGTCTTAAAATGAATTTCAAATTATTAAATGACATCTTAATATTCTAGGTTTCTAAATAATTTGAATCTCAACTGATCAGCTATCTTGCTATCTCACAAATAAACAATACTTCTCTATATTCTTCTGCTTATAGTATCAATTCATATGATAAATAAAAAGAATTATCATCAATAAAAGTTAATAATTCTCTTCTTTTTGAAGCTAACTAAGTTACTATCTCATAAGATTGTTGAAGATGCTTATTTGTTTTCTTACTATTATTTTCAATTTCACTTATTAAAGTTTTCTTAATTTCAAGAATCAACTTTTAATCACTCATTTCTTGCTTTTATAAATTACTAGCATCTGCTTTATATCTATTAAAAAGTTCTTAATAGAAATTTTATGAATCTTCAACTATCATTTTTTTTAATCTAATTAAATTAAATCATATATACCTTTTTAATTATTAACCAATATTCTCAAATTCAACAGCAAACACTTTTCTTAAATCTATTTCTTTTTTTAAATAATTAAAATCAAATCCTCCCACATTTCTACCTGTAAGTATGATTATGATCTTTGGTTGAAACTTCTTAGCCAATAGAAGTGTTTATTTTAAAGAATTATAATTATCTAATAGACTATTAAGTTTTTCAGCTATAATTATTAATAGAATCAATACATTCTGAAATATCATAAATCCAAATTACAACAGATGGAAACTATTAAATTAATTACTAAATTTACAGTTTTTAGTTTATTTAACCAAGACAATTTCATTATACCACCTCCTTAATGAGCTAATTTCTTGTATTCTAATTCTAGTAATATTATAAATCTAAGCCTATTATTATGAATTTTACTATTGCATTCCACCTTCAAAATTACTTAATTGATTTTTCAGTTTCTCTTTATAATCTCCCAATATACAAACTATTGATTTATTAGTTGTAATCAAATCCATGAAATAAATATTTATATAAATATATTTAAAATAAAACTATTTTCTGAAGAGTTGTGACTTCAATATAATAAAAATATATTTAGTTTAATATATTTATAAATCATGCAACTGAATATTCATTACAAAGCAGACAATAATATTTTTACTATCTTCTATCCAAATTATTAATCTATACATTAATACATCTAAAACTACAAAAATTATTTGTACAATTTAGCACTTTCAATTGTTTATGAAGATTTAAAAATAATTAATCCTATTATTAATTTAGCAACAAATCAAATAAATTTTTATTAGATAAAGTTGTTAAATGTGAACATTTTATATTCACATCACAAAAACATTTAAGAGAATTCTTATTATTTTTCAGATTTTATTACAGCAACAAATGAAGTATAATTTAGTAATTTTCTAAATGATCTTAAATATAAGAATGATTAATGAGACATCTCTATTGTTAATTTTATTTATTAGAAACCTAATTTATTTATTTTTCTTTTAAAACTTTATTTTCTTCTTACTCTATTTATATTTTATTTTCAATTATTGAAGAGATAGCAGGCTATAAAACTCCTGTATCTCCTAAGTTTTAAGGAGTTTATGAGTATTAACATTTTCTAGTTTTTAGATTTATTTGATTTTCATATGGTTCTTTAGGCTACTTCTCAAAAGAATCTATTTTATCCAAAGCTTTTATTATTTATTTATTAATTTCATTCATCAATTATTTAAATTTTTGTAAATCATCTTTTGAAATATTATAGCTATTATTGATTGATTAAAAGAATTAATCCAATTATTTAATTATATCCCATAACATTCCTTCATAATATTCATTTAATTGTTAAGCTTATATAATGATCTTCTTTTTTTTAAAATCTGTATATTCTCCATTGTTTGGATAAATGTTAATATCTTTTAATTTTGTTAAATGTTCTTAATTGTTGGCCTTAAGACTCATTTGTAATTTATATATTAAATAATACAATTTTTTGTTAATTATATTACTTAAGAATCTTATTATAATATATATATTTTTAAGAGTTTACAAAATTTAACTGATAAATTCATATAAATAACTCCTCTATTTAATTTAGGATGTTTAACATTGTTATAGACTTAAAAATAGAATTGATATTAGTCTTTTTACAGAATGAGATTATATATTAGTATAGATTTTTATATTTTCAATTGATTATTAAACTATATTATTTAATTCATATGTTTTTGTAACTTCGAGGAGGTGGATGTGGAAATTCTGCTAATTTAGTATAACCCAAGATTACACCAATTAATACAACAGAAGAAAAATAAATTATACCTAATTTATAAAACAAAATTAAATGGCACTCTTAAAGGATAGCTTAGAATGCTGTAACAGCTATAGATAAAAAGCATGATCTTATGAATAGTTTCTAATTTTTTTAAATTCATCAGAGATAACTATGGGAACAAGCGAAAAATCCAGATTTATCAAAAGAAAATATTGATTTAATTTTAGAATGCCTTTCTTTACTATTACCAGCCTTAAAAAGTTTTATATAATCGAATCACTTATATGCACTTTTTACTTCATAATCTATTTCTAGTCTAATTTGGGTAGTATTTACATTTTTTTCCACAACAAAGGAAAGATATCTATAAGTTTAGACTTAGTAATAATATTTAAATGAAATTGAGTAAATTTATGAAAGACTAGAAATAGAGAGTGGTAATGAAACATCTAAATATTAAAATAATATAGAATATGAATTATTTCTTATTAGGGCAATATTATTTGTAACTCCAACCAATTCTTAGGAAGGCGTTGAGATCTTTACATAATTTTTAGGAGGAGCCTTTTAAGCTTTAGTTAAATTCTCATTAAATGATGATTTGATTTAAAGTTTAAAAAGAGGTGTTATATTCTTGTATTAATAAGGTGTTAAGTATTCAAGAGTAAAGAAACTAGAAATCATTTTTTCATTACTAAGTTTGAAATTTGATGCTATGAATATATTGGAATAGAGTAGAGAATCTAAATAATAAAATAATAAATCTATTGAAATTGTTGAATTACTTGGTAAAATGTATTGTAATGTTGTAAAAGAATCAAGTGATTGGGAAATATGGTAATGTTGGATATAAACAATTTCTTCTTTATTTTAATTTAAACCTGTAATTTAAAAGTTGAACTTAGAAAAATCTCTATTAGATGAGATATAGAAGAAAGATTATGCAATAAAAACTTTAGGAGATTAATAAATATTATCATTAAAATACTCTTATATTTAAAATGATAAAACTTCTAAGACACTATTTGATAGTTCAACAATACTTTAAGAATTAGCTTAACTTTAAATTTTCATATTACAAGGTTATGGTTAATTATCTAATTATGAATAATAATATTTTCTTAAACTTTAGGCTTTAGAAGAATAAAAATAAAATAATTAACCATAATTACCAATTACTTTATCAGGAATATCCTAATTATTAAATTAAGTAGAATCATTGTAATCAATATTTATTGAATTTAATGAAATTGTAAAGTCTTAAGATTTTAAAGATTAATAAAAATTAAAACAATCAGAAAAATTAATGAAACAATCTTAATTGAAAATTATAGCATTATTATCAGATATAGAAAATTTGAATACATTAAAAATGATAGTTAAAGATTTATCATAACCAAAAGATAATTAAAATGTATTTTTTGAAGATTACTATTAAATTTAATAAACAAATTGTCAAATTTATCTAAGTGGTTTAGTTAATATGGGAAATGATTAATTCCAAGAAATATTTTAATTTAATTAGTATTTTTCAATTATTGTTGAATTAATCACAGGTTCTTAAAATGGTTAATAATTTAAAAAAATGTATGAATAATTTTAAAAAAATTAAAAGGACAAATCTATTATAATAAATTTATCAAATGCTTTAAAAAATTTAGTTTTCAAAGAAGAAAGTTCAAATTTTTAATAAAATGATTCTTTAATTGGTTTCATTAAAGCAATAAATTTAATTACATAATGGAAATCTAATTTAAAATGGAATTTATAAATTAGCATAATCTTATAAATACATCTGAGAATGTTAGTATAAGAATAATATTATGATAAAGATCCTAATCTTTATTCTTAAATAATTTCTATTACTAATTAACATATTTCATACTAAACATTAAGTTAATCAATTTAATTTTTATATAATTAATATTCATAATGTGAATGTTATAATAAGTTTTCAAATTTAGAATTAAAATCAACAAGTCATCTAGAAAAATTACTAAACACCTTATTAATAGATAATTTTGATGCTAAAAATACAACTTTATCAATTCTTCGAAAGTATTTATTTTCCAATAGTTCATCAGTTCAGAATGTTAAATTTGATTTGGAAATCTCAAAGATGATGGAGGAAGAATTAGATCATTCATTAAATTATATAAATCAGATTTAAAGTGCTTTAAAAATGATTATTGATTTTCTTTTATATGAAAAAGAAGTTAATAATGAAGTAACTGATGAATTAGAATATCTTCTTGATTTAAAATGTATCACTGAAGTAAAATAAAATTTTCTAGAAAATTAAACAAACAAATATAAAATATAAGAATGTCTTTAAAAACTTTAGAATTATTTTAATAAATTTACAGTAATTTTTACAAACTCTTAAACTACTATTAAGGAAAATGATTAAAAAACTTATGAATAATTAAATCAGAAATCTTAAACATTATCATAATTAATTGTGTTTTTAACAGGACTCTCTGAATTGAACATTTTTAATAAAAAAGATGAAGAATTAGTAGAACAAATAAAATAAGATATTAGAGAGAAGTTAGACGAAATAATTGATTATAAAAATATAAAATCTATTAATCTGAGTATTAAAGTTAATAATAAAATTTAAGTAGAAATTGAATTTTATTAAAAAATTAATTCTTAATTAGAAGAATTGAGATCAAAACAAGAAAAATAATTTAATCAAGTTAAAGAAATTTAGAAAGAATTATAATAGATATAACTTTAACTAAAAAATATAGTAACTTTAAATAAGTTGAAAGAATAAAAAAAAAGTTATGATACTATTCTTAGAGAGACTGAAATGGATATTATGTAATGTTTTAATAGATTAAAAAAAGAATAAACTTCTTTAGAATTAGATTTTTCAAAAATAAAATAATAATTAAGTGAAAAAAAAAATATTTAACATAAAAAGGATATTGAATCTTAATTACATTTTATATTAGTTTAAATTGAAAGTAAGGAGAAATAATATAATTATTTGGAATAGTAATATGATAAAATAAAAGAAGAAATTGTAGATTTTTTATTTAGTAATAAATGGAGAATAAGATAAGTTATTATTTATGAATTATAATAAATGAGATAATTCTGTTTATCCTAAAATTCAATTAATCTTAGTTCAGGACTCTTGATTAAATTTTCTGTTTTTGAAACAGATAAAAAAATAAGAGTATTATTCAACAATTAAAAAGGATAAGAATCTTAAATGATATTAAATAAATATTGGCCAAATTAGGAATAAATGATTTAAAATAAAATCAAAGAAAAAATAAAAGAATTAAATGATATTGCTTAAAAATTGACAATAGAAACTTCAAATTAATTAAAAATAAAATATCAAAAGGAATATAGTAGATTAGAGAAAGAAATATAAGGAATTTTAGAAAATGTAGAAAATATTGGAAATTAATTAGGAATAACAATCTTGTTTTTTTAAGATTTAAAGTAAGATCTATTAAGAATTGAAAATTAAATTAAATAGATATAAGAAGCTATGGAAAGTATTAATAAGGATCTTAAATTTTTAAAAGGAAGATCAGTAAAAGAACTTTTTGAAATGAGAATGAAACGAGTACTTTAATAAAGATTAGTATATAATTCTGATAATGTTTATATTTAAATTTTAACAAAAGAAAAATTATAATAAGAAGATAAAGAAGATAATGAAACTGTTTTATTTACAGAAGACTTATTTGGTAATGGAGAAATTAATGAATTTATTTGGAAGTAATAAAAAGATTCATTATTAATTCATGGATAAGCAGGATCAGGAAAGAGTACAGCAGCTAGAAAAATTGAAGAATTTTTATGGCTTATTTATTAGAAAAACAAAAATTAAACAGATTATATTCCATTAATTCCAATCTTTGTATCACTTCCTTAATTAAAAGACCCTATATATTGTGCAATAGAAGAAACCCTTAGATCAGATAATTATAGATTTAGTGAAAGATAAATAGAAGAACTTAAAGAAGCATTAGAACTTAAATAATACAGATTGATAATAATCATGGATAGTTATGATGAATTAAAATAATAATATATTGGACTTAATTTAAATATATCGAATAGAATTTCAAAATGGAGATGCAGTTCTGATAGAAACAAATATCCAAAAGTTATTACTACATCAAGATCAGAACTCTTTACAATAAAGGGATATAGTTCTTGGTTTTTATCAGAATCAAATTCATAAAACTTATATAAAGAAGTAAGATTATTAAAATTTACTGAAAATCAAATAAAACAATATATTTAAGAATATACATTCCTTTGTGTTAAAAGAGTTATTAAAGAATTCTATTTTAGTGCTTATTAAGATTAAGATTATTAAGAATTTGAGAATGTTTATGTTGATATTATCAAAACAGTAGGTTTGTTAAATTTAAAATAAGATTAATAATAAATGTTAAGTTCAGATATTATAGATTCCTTAATTTTAAAATGTAAACATTTTGTTTCAACAGAACATCAAAAGACAATGACTTAAATGTTGATGGAGATTTGGTCAAGTACAAAATATGAAAACTTCATTAAATTAATGGGTTTAGAATAGGTAATAGAAACACCATTTATGGTTGAAATTGTGATGGCTGTCCTTCCTTATGTAGTAAAGTAGAGATAGGAAATTAATAATATTAAAGAGAATTTCATTAAAAAATATGTT